GAATCGGATGTTGATTTCGCTTTTTATGAGATTCATGGATATTCAAAATTTTGCGTTTGTGGGGCAAATACCAGAAGGAGTGGACCGATGTTGTCCATTTTCGCACCAGACCTAGCAAATATTAGGATTTGCAAAGTTGGAGCAAAATCGGATTATCCTTTCTCTTTCTGTGCACAAAATATATTTTTTGAAAATTTCGACCTGTTGTGGGGGAGGTACCAGAAGGAGTGGACCGATATTGCTCATCTCCGAACTCGATCTAAGTTTGACAAAAATATTACGATGTACCAAATCGGATACTCCCTTCGAGAGTTATCGTGCGCACCAACCAGGCAGACTGACAGACGGATTTGGTCCAAAGAGGCCTAGGGTTTAAAACCGTTATTTCGACTAGGCACGTTTTAACCTATCAAATTGTATATACCCTATGTAGCCATATAGCTGAGGGTATAACAAGTAAAAAAGCAGCTAAGTTCGGCCGGACCGAACTTTGAATACCCTCCACCATTTGGTACGAATTTGGCAATTTTCAAAAAACAAATAAAATCCTTTAAAAATCTGTTAACATTTTAAAAATACCGAATGTAGCTAGTATATTAGAGTCTATACGGCGACGTGGACCTGCAAAGGCTTCTTTTGTCATAAGCAATTACAATATTCGAATGCGAAAGTTATAAAAATGGGTGAATAATGTAGCTAAAATCATCAAAATACCGAATATTGGGAGGTACCATTATAAGTGGGATATACCAAAACGTGGATCAGCACCGATAATTTTCTGGCATAGTCTGTAGTGTCCATTACGAACTTCAAATAACAAATTTGAAACAATTCCGGTGAATAATGCCGCTAAAATCATCAAAATACCGAATATCGGGAGGTACCATTATATGGGGGTTATACTAAAACGTGGATCTACAGGGTAAGATAAAAAAAGCTGCAACAAAGTCAAACGTCATCATTTTTACATTTTTTTTTATTTTATTGAATCACATCAAAACATGTCGGAAAATTTTAGAATAAGTTTAGATTTCTTCGAATTGGTCACGTTTGGCACGAATTACTAATGAATCCGTCACACGCTGCCCGAATTTTACTATGCGGTATTTTGGCCTATTCCCGGCGAAGCGATTGCCTGAGGTGATCGACTCTTTGGTATTTTTAGTGCCAACCTTGTTTTCCAGACACAATAGTCCAACGGATTGGTATCCAACCGAAGGTGCACATTTTCACCTGAGCTCTTTGGCATTTGGTTTGTTTACAAACTGCTAGTCAACGAATGTTTTCTCATCGGAGAAAACCAAATTCGACAGTTCACCACTTTCGGCCAAGCGAAGCAACTCTTTGGCTCTTTTGAGTCTATTTTCTATTTTCTTTCTGTTGCGGTGTAAGTTCTTGCACTTTTTCGAATTTCAATGGCTTTACCCCAAGCTCATTTTTCAATATTTGCCGAATGGAATATTGTGAAATGTTCAGCTCACGAGCCATTTTTGGCCACTGCGACTCGGGTTTCAATCAAGTCGCTCCTTTACTTTTCGAACCATTTCTGCTGATGTTGCTATTTTCTTCCGTTCACTTCCTTGACGTCGGGCTACGCTATCACTGTAACGAGCGATGGCGCGCTTGAACTCTTGTAAACAATATAATGAGCTGTCACTGGAATAATTTTAACAGCTGTCGGACGAGTGGCTTAGAATTGACAGTAGTCTGAAGTTGGTTGCAGTTTCTTCATCTCACTCTGTATATGTAAAACAAATAGATCCTATTTGTTCCGGTTATAAGTCAAAAACCGATTATAAGGGAAAAAACTGATGTAAAACATGGTCTCTTGCCAGAAAAGAATAAAATTTATGTAAATCGGGTAAAATTTTCTAAAGTTTGTAACACCCCGCAACACTTTATGTTGAGTGTATTATATACAGGTCGCAATTATCGTCCGATCCTCATGAAATTTTGCATGGGCGTCAGAATTTAATCACAAAGCCAAAGGTAACATCTGGGCAGTGCTCTATGACATAATTTCAAAAGCGAAATCTTCCATACTCGATTTTGAGTTTGTAGTGTTGTAGGGTATCACATGGTCGGCCCCGCACGTCTTTAGCCTTTACTTACTTGTTTTTACTTTGGGCTGACCATATATATTGAGAGTCCAAAATGCGTGGTTCCGTCAAAATTTGCAAGATAACTTGAATGTGTGGTAAAAAACGTCGACAGAGTATGTCGAATTCTGGGTAACACTATTAAGAGTATCTCCAACATAATGAACAACAATACATTTTAAAAAATGATCGTCTGCCTTTTTTGTCAGTTCTATTCGGAACAGCTATATTCTTCACAGACCGTTTAATCCTAAGAAAAACAGCATATTTCAGTTTCGGCATTGACTTGGCTAGTTGCTGGGGCCTTTCGATCCATTTCTTGCATTTGTGCTTATCATAATGTACCCATTTTATTCATTATACGTAACTATACGTTGCAAAATGATCTTTGATGACACACAAAAATATTTGAGAAATTTATCAGACGCCAACATTCGTATAACTTTCTTTTCTGATTTTGTTTCAATAATTAACGGATATTTTTAAAACTAGTTGTGAAGCAAAAACATATAAAACGTCAAATAGAGATGGCGCTGCATACTTATATTATTACAGCCACAAACCATGAATGATTTCTGTCATTTATATTTCTAATAAATGGTGGTGTTTGCAACCCTGTCTCAACGACGACTTCACTGATATGAAGAGGGCACTTGAAACATTTTAAAAGACAAAATTAAACGCCCCACACAAATAACAAATCCAGTTGATTTCAACTGTCAATTTCATTACATATACACTAAATAAAATCTGCTGGATTAGAAAATCGATCTCATTTGACGGGTACAGAATGGAATTGGAAGTTGATATCCACTTGATTTAGTATAAATCATGGTGAAATTAAGAAGGTAAAATCATTTCAAATTAGCATACCCGTCTCTGAATTTTCTGTAATTTTCCTTGTCAAATTTTACTGCATAGAAAACAGGTTCCCATCTCTGATTAGTGTATATATAATGGATTTACAAGTATAAATTTTGACAATGAAATGTTGTCAAATGAATAAAAAACAAGTTAAAATTATCAGTAGGTCCATGCCGACAGACGTGTTCCCTCAGGCAATGCTCGATTATTTAAATATATTTTGACTTCTCTAATGGTTATTCAAACTCTTGACCCTCTATGGAGTGGGTTGTGAAGGAATAGGCCAATATTGTCCATTTCATATCGGACCTAAATAAATACGATATAAAATATTGCGACTTGCCAGGTTTAGTCTATATTGGTAACTGCATCATAAAATTCATATTCTTTGCAAATTTCTAGTTGAGAGAAATATTTATATAAGTAATGTAAGTTATGACAGATAAAAGTATTGAAACTTGTGACCCTTTGTAGGTGAGGTACCGGAAGATGTTCGCAGCTATATATCATCTTGTGTTGGCAAAAATGTTTGTATGTGTGAAATTTGAAGGGAGTTGGATGCTTATTTCGCTTTCTTTGAGCGTTTGGTTTCTTAAAATCTTGAACCCTATGTGAGGCAGATACCAGAAGAAATGGTCCGATCTCTACCATCTTTATTACAGGGCTTGTGTTGATGGAAAAATTGAAATGTGCCAAGTCTGCATGGAATCGGATGTTAATTTCGCGTTTTATGAGCTTCATGAATATTCAACATTTTGACCTTTTGTGGGAGAGGTGCCAGAAGGAGTGGAGCGATATATCCCATCTTCACAACAGATCTTGTGTTAGTAGAAATAATGGGATGTGTGAAATATGAAGAGAACCTGATACTTATTTCGGATTTTATGGTTATTCAAAACGTTGACCATTTAGGGGGGGGGGGGGGCGTTATTACCAAAAGGAATGGTCCGATCACTACCGCCTTTATAATATATTGAAAGAAATATTCAGATGTGCCAAGTCTAAATGGAATCGGATATTTATTTCGCGTTTTATTAGTCAAACGGACTCTAACTTTGCATTTTATAAGAGTTGTAATTATTCAAAATTTTGACCCTTTGTGGGGGAGGTACTTGATAGAGCGGACCGATATTGTCCATTTTCGCACCTGACCTAGCACTGACGCAAATATTTGGATTTGCAAAGTTGGAGCAAAATCGGAAAATCCTTTCCCTTTCTGTGCACTAAATTATTTTCTTCTTTTGATATTTTGTGTGGGAGGTACCAGAAGGAGTGGACCAATATTGCCCATCTCCGAACTCGATCTAAATTTGACAATAATGTCACGATCAAACCGGATAGTCCTTTCGAGAGTTATCGTGCGCACTAGCCAGCTAGACAGACAGACGGACATCGTTAGATCGAGTCCAAGTGTCCTGACGCGGATCTGATTCAAAGTGACCTACGATCTGAAACCGTTAACTGATATATACCCTATCTAGCCATTTGGCTGAGGACATGGCGCAATAACAGAAGGTAGAACAAAGCTACTCCCTAAATATAATTTTTTCTTTTCTGTCAAAACATATACACAGCTTGTATATATGTGTGTGTATTGTTATGCAACAAAAAATTCACATTTTCCACGTTGTCAGGCAAAAAATTTATTATTTTGGGATGAAACAACACTGCCCCTCTGTCTTGGATTCAATATTTCTTTCGTATTTTGTGGGTTTCCCAGTTACCTTTTTCCGTTCCCAGTTACCTTTTTTACAATTAAACAATGTAAAAATATGTGAAAAAGGCAAAGGCTGAAATAACTTGCGTTTTTAATTGCATTTAACTACAATGGTATCGTCCTAATTGACAACATTGCTACATCAGCTGAACCCTGCTGCTATCAATTCAATGTGAATAAATAAGTACAAAGAAGAAGCATTTTGACAGCTCTCAAGGTAACATTTCTGATCTAGAGAACCATTATGTTTTCGGCCTTTCTGTTTTGATTCCACATCTTTATTCAGATTTTTCTGTGTTGTCTTTTGTTTCAGTGTTGCCGTATCGCAGTGTCAAAGCAAAGTGATTAAGCTAACAGAGCGAGCCAGGTGCTGAAGAAAAAACATTTTGTTACAAGAAAAGAAAAAGTTTATTTGATTGTTTTCGATCAAAGTTTAGGGTTTTTTCTATCTGGCGATAAAGATTATTAAGAAGTATTTAAACTTTCGAACAATACACACATAGAAATAGTACTACAATATTGGCTTTTCTGCTTTTGCAGGAAATTAGGGGCTGTGCCAAGACCCGTTTTCGTTGTCAACATTGTGACACAGTGTCATCGACGTTGTTGTTGTTTTTGCAACTCCTTCATTGCACCTTTGAAGGAGCCTGTTTTCTTCAATCCCCTCTAAAGGACTTGGTAATAGCTGAAATATTCAAAGACATTGGAAAGACTTCGTTAGCCGTTTTATGTTAACATGAATGTTGATTCAACCTCTTTACCTTCGGAGTTGTTGGTGGCACCACAACCTCTTATTGGATTGTGCGGTCTTGATGTGAATCGCAATGCAGTACACAAAACCATATGGGACGCTTTTAGCAGTAATCGCAAGGCTGAAAGGTAATGTAATTCCAAGCATTTTCATATTATTTTTTATCTCTTAATATTGCGTTGCTGCATTGCAGGGCTTCGGTACAATTTAAATTGCTGCCAAATAACTATGAATTCCCGGTGGCCAAACCAAAACGAAATTCCTACGAATGGTATCATCCAAAGGGTATCCTTAAACGCAACTGGATGCTTAAACATTTACATGTGCTTCCATCGGTGGTGGTTTTGTTTCAGGACATAGAATGGAATGATAGCCAATGGACGGAGAAACAATTGCAATGTGTTGCTGCCCTGCAAACACTTAAGAATGCCTTACAGGAACGTAATACCCGCATATGTTTGGTGCTTTTACAAAAATCACCACCCCTACCGCCGGGAGAGGATATGTTGGCATCGGAAAGAGCTGCCAGCCTCACTGCTGCCTGTGGTATCAATAGCAAAATGTTGTTTATTTTACCACATTCCGAGCATTTAATGGGTAAGTAGACAATTCAATTAGAAACCCTAAATACAGAATTCACATCATTCATATTGTAATTGAAAATCCTCGAACATAGTTCGTCACTGTTCAGCGACGTGGGCAGAGTATGGCCCCAGCCCCGTCAGCAATGACTATTTCCTAACATTTTTGTATATTTTACATGGAAAAGTTAATTGTTTGCTAATTAGGCCTCCCCGAAATGGTTTCGAAAAACATTTCTTTGAACGTTCCAGTCTCTGCTTTTTTTTTTGAATTATCGCTTTCAGCGTCTCTTCCCTCAATTGTCCTTAAAGTTTAAATTCACTTTATTGAAGTACTCCTTGCTATTTTAATGAATAACGTTTCTTTTCTTCCCTCCTAGGATATGTCTTGCGTCTTGAATCTGCCTTCGTGGATATGGCTCAGTCGTACTATACTCTAATGTCGAAGCGTATACGAACACATCGTGATCAATTGACAGCAGCTCATACAACATTGAAGATAAGACACCAATTCAAGCTGGGTTTTGTGGCTGAAATGCGTCAAGACTTCAGCACAGCATTAAAGTAAGTCTCGTAAATTTGTTATCGTATTTTTTTAATAAAATTTCTCGTTATTAATTTCAGACACTATACCCAATCGTATACAACACTGGACGAGATACGCATCAATGATGGCAATAATTTGGAAATAAAAACTGTAGCTGGATTCTTAAACTATAAGATATGCCGTTTAATGTTTAAATTAAAAGTGCCACGAGATTCAATTAATCATTTTATAAGTCACATAGACAAATATAAAAATCGTGTTGGTTTTAAGGATCTAATATTTGAACATTATGCCTGGCTGAGTACACAGTAAGTTATGAAGGAGATGTATTGAATTTTCGAGTAATTTCAATTTGTTTTTCTTTCAGACATTTTGTTTTTGCCGAGCTATTTTGTGAGGCTATTAAAAATGGACTACCCGCGTTGCAGACCCAACATCCCGGCATATATTTTCACAAAGCTGCTGAATATACACAAAAACGAAAGGAGGCATTTCTTCAAAGTACAGGTAAAAGCGAATTTGTCCATTAATTTCAAGTTGTGTTTAAAATATTTATTTATTGATTTTTATACCCTAAGCCATATGGCTAGAGAGGGTATATATCATATAATACGGCCAAAAAGTGCCTCATCGGAAAAACGGGTTTTAGACGTTAGGTCTATTTGGACCAAACCCGTTTCAGGACATTTGGATTCGATCTTGCGATGCCCATCCGTCCGTCCGTGTGTCTGTCTGGCTGGTGCGCACGATAACTCGCGAAGGGAGTATCCCATTTGATCCAAACCTGGTACATCGTAATATTATTGTCAAACTTAGATCGAATTCGGAGATGGACAATATCGGTTAATTCCTTCTGGTACCACACCCACAAAATGTCAACATTTTTAAAGAAAATAATTTACTGCACAGAAAGAGAAAGTATTATCTGATTTTGCTCCAACTTTGCATATCCTAACATTTGCATCAGTGCTAGGTCAGGTGCGAGAATGTAAAATATCCGCCCATTCCATCAAGTACCCCCCCACAAAGGGTCACAATTTTGAATAATTATAACCCTAATAAAATGTGATGTAAGAGTCCGATTGTCTTTAAATTACATACATCGCAATATTTTCAATAACCCAAGTCGTGGTGTGAAGATGATATATATCGGTCCACTCCCTCTGGTAACCCCCCCCCCCCCCACAAAGGGTCAAAATTTTGAATATTCATGAAGCTCATTCAGACTTGGCACATCTCAATATTTCCATGAACGCCAGATCTGTTATAAAGATGGTAGACATCGAACCATTCCTTCTGGTACCTCCCCTACAAAGAGTTAAAATTTTGAATAATCAGAACGATCATAAAATCCGATATAAGCATCCTGTTCTCTTCAAATTACACACATCACAATATTTTTATTAGTCTAAGGACTGGTGTGAAGATGAGATATATCTGTCCACTCCTTCTGATACCTCCCCCACAAAGGGTAAAAATTTCGAATATTCATGAAGCTCATAAAACACGAAATTAACATCCGATTCCATTCAGACTTTATTCATCTCAATATTTCCGTCAACACAATATCTCTTATAAAGATAGTAAAGATCGAACCATTTCGTCTGGTACCTCAATCCATAGGGTTCAAGATTTCAAATAATTATAACCCTAATAAAATGTGATGTAAGGGCCCGATTGTCTTTAAATTACACACATCACAATATTTTTATTAGCCCAAGGTCTGGTGTGAAGATGGAATATATCAGTCCACTTCTTCTGGTACATCCCCCACAAAGGGTCAAGATTTTGAATATTCATGAAGATCATAAAACATGAAAATAATGTCCAATGAAATTCAGACTTGGCACATCTCTATCTTTCCATCAACAAAAGTTATTTTATAAATGTGGTAGAGATCGGACCATACCTCCCCCTCAAAGGGTAAAAGTGTTAAATAACCAAAACGATCAAAAAATCCAATATAAGCATTCGGTTCTCTTCAAATTACATACAACACAATATTTTTATTAGTCCAAGATCTGGTGTGAAGATAAGATATATGGGTCCATTCCTTCTGGTACCTCCCCTACAATTGGTAAAAAATTGTAGATTTCGCACCATTTCTTCTGGTACCTCCTCACATAGGGTTCAAGATCTCTTCAAATTTCGGAACCTCCCCCATAAAGAGTTAAGATTTTTAATAATCATAAGTCAAGGCTGGGGTATACATCTATCGGCAAAACCATCTGATACTATTTGAATTGTTTTATTTTTCAATTACACTCCCCTTAACACATATTTGTCATTACCTTAAACTCATTTTAGGCCCTTCAACCCCTACGGAGTCATCAAACAATTTTAATGGCCAAGGCAGCAATAACATAACATCTTTGTATACCGAATATTTCGGTATAAGATCATTAAAATCGGGAGAACCTTTAACGGAACAACAAATCAACACAATGATAAGGGAAAATGAGAAACTCTTTAATCATTCGGTAGAGTATTCCTAAAGGTCATTGTCTGATTCGAAATTTTAATGTCTTTCATTTTATTTTTCTAGAGTTCCATTATAAATCTCCTAAGTTTGGCAATGGCTCAATTTAAAATCTACAAATGTTTGAGATTCCGTAAAAAATTGGCAATTGATATGGCTGATGAGTACTTTAAAAGCGGTGATCATGGCAAAGCGTTAACGTAAGTTATACCCTGGGAGATTTACAAAATAAATTTAAGCAGAAAAATAAATATCCTTTACAGGTTATATTCATTAATGTTACCCGATTATCGTCAAGATAAATGGTGTTCCTTGTTTTCGGATGTCCTGCTCAAAACTATGAAATGTGCCCTGCTGTCTGCTTCCATTGGTGATTTCATATCGTGTAGTTTGGAGGCATTGTCATTCAAAATAAAATATACCCCCAATGAACGCGTCATGGTTTTGGAAAATTTATGGAAGGTTTTGCAGGTATGTAAAGCAAATTTAATTTTTGTTATTTGATATATCAATAAATAATATCAAAATATTTATAGGGTGAACCACCCATACCCCAGAATCAAAATGCTCCTGAGGTGCGAGCACGTTGGGAGGAGGCATTGAAAGGTGTTAAAAGTCCCCTGCAAATCGATATGGATAAACTGACCGATCTTATGGATATTTGTAGTACGTTTGAAAAATTGGAAATTAAAAATGATGATGTTATAAAACTAAACCTTATACTAAGGTAATAGAGATTTCTTCCTACTGATCTATGAAAATAAAATAATTTCTATTTATTTTTCTTTCTTTGCAGATTACAAACTGATGTTCCCATAAAAATACGCAACCTACAAGTGATAATAACAGATGATAGCAATAATTACAAATTACAGCCGACGCATATATCCAGATATTATGATATTGTGGATCTAAGGAAACTCAATGACCCCGCTAACAATGCTCTACAGCCCTATGAACAAAATCTAAAGCTGGAACCAACATTCTATCATAGTTTCTCGTTTACCACAGAGGCTCAACAATTTTTGGAAAATACTCAACTACGTGTGGTGCGCATTGAAATACTTGTGGGCACCGATAGCCTGTCTATGCTGCTGCATAAAAGTGCACCCTATATGAATAATGCCTTTCGCTACCACAATCGCAATCGTGATTTGGATGACAACATTATAATCAATCCAATTTGTTATATTACTCCAACGTAGGTCATCTATTCGTTTTGTTTGTTTTTTGTCCATTAAAATTACTTAATTTGTAGGAAGTGTTTGTTGTTTATTGTATATACCCTCGTAGACAACACACTCAATACAGTTATTTGTCATTGGCAATTTTTGTTGTTTTTCTATTTACTGTTGATTTTCAAATATTACCGCTATTGACGTGTTTAATGTGCTCCACATAAAAATAATATTTTTCTTTTGTTTTGTGTTTCTCTAAATTTTGTTTTCACAGATTCCATTTGGTCACGCAATGCAATCTGGGCACGGAGACAATGCTCGTGAATGAATATTATATGGCGACCATAACAATAAGCAATCCCTACAATGTTTTTGTAACAGGCATAGCTTTGAGTATAAGTGTACCGAACAATTTGAAGAATAAAGGTAAGTCAATTTTTTTTAATTAGAAGTTTAATAATAATTTATAATGGGTCGGCCAAGGTGACAAAAATCTGTTCAGGCATTGTAAAAAATTCCGCGACGGCAAAAAAAGTTGTCTATATTTGAATCTTCGTTAGAATAACATAAGCGATAGCACAAGAGATTGAAAAATGAATCAACATGTAGGACAACGTCGTCCTCCATCTATCACCTCCGATGCTAAGAACGTCAGGATCGAAAAGAAAAGAAATAAAAGAATTAAAGATTGCGGGAAAACCCAAAAATAACCCAACAATGTGACGACGCAATAATTACTAGCCGTAGTGAAATAAACGACCAAGCTTCAGAAGCATATCCTTTAATGAGTCCCTTCAATACGATTTTAATAAGAATAATCATAATTTTTCAAAGCATTCAAAGCATCAACAAAAGATAATATAAATTTCTCTTTTCGAACTTTTACCCCGAGAATGAAAAGATTGATTTCGCACTTTTTACTGAAACTTGAATCAGAAATGATACGAGAGAAATATGTAATTACGACTTATATGGAAACAAGTTCAAAGGTATTAGTCGCTTTTGTCGACAGCTGATACCGTCACCCAATATTCGATTATTTCAATATATTTTTACTTTTGTTATGATTATAAATAGTACAACGTCTATGGAGTAGGTTCCGAAGGTATGGACTAATGTTGTCCATTTCGTATGGGATCTGAATAAATGTTATTTATATCATATCAACGTGCGAGGTTGGCCTATATCAACTAGAGATATGTGATAATATTTAGAAAATGTTGAAACACCAGTACCAGGTACCGTATTATTCTATTTTCACACTTCATCTAATACAGCTAGAAATATTGGTATGTGCAGAATTATAAGAAAATCGAACGTTCATATCCAATTGTATGCAAAATCATAAAATCCGAAAATTTTCATATTCATCTCAGTTTTCTGGTTGAGAGAAATACAGGGTGATTTCTTTATATTTGGCTGGAACCACTTGTGGAGCTACAGTTAGAGCATTCCAGCATTTAAATGTGAATAAATCTTTTTTGTCTCGTACCATCGCTTGTTACCGTGGTACTGGTAGCGTAGCCCGACGTCAAGCGACATCAGTAGAAATGGTTCGAAAAGTAATGAAGCGACTTGATCGAAACCTGCGTCGCAGTGGCCGAAAAATGACTCGTGAGCTGAACATATCGCAATATTCCATTCGCCAAAAAATTGAAAAATGAGCTCGGTAAAGCCATTGAAATTCCAAAAAGTTCCAGAACTTACACTGCAACAGAAAGAAATAGACTCAAAAGAGCTTAAGAGTTGCTTCACTTGGCCGAAAGTGGTGAACTGCCGAATTTGGATTTTTCCGTCTCTGATGAGAAAATATTCGTTGTCCAGCAGTTTGTAAACAAGCAATATGATAGTGTTTACTTGCCAAAGACGTCAGCTGAAAATGTGCACCTTCTGTTGGCCACCAGAACTCAAGCGCCTGCCATGGTGATGGTGTGGGCCGCCATAACAGGTGGGCCGCTAAACATGGTCGCTCTCCTCTCGTATTAATCGACCGTGCCGAATATTATCGCGAAATTTTTTGGAGAGTGTATTATAGCTTTGGGCACGCAAACATTTTGGCCGCTGACCTTGGACATTTCAACAGGACTCAGCACGTTGGACTATTGTGTCTGGAGTATTTTGGAAAGCAAGGTTGGCACTAAAAAAATCCAAAGTGTCGATCACCTCAAGCAAGCGCTTCGCCGGGAATGAGCCAAAATACCGCAGAGCAAGATTCGGGCAGCGTATGACGGTTTCACTGGCTGTTTGAAGGCCATAATTCGTGCTAAAGGTGACCAATTCGAACAAATCTATGTGGAAGAGATACAACAAGAAATTGTCCGATCTCTACTATCTTTATAACAGATCTTGTGTTAATGGAAATATTGAGACGTCCCAAGTCTAAATGGTATCGAATATTAATTTCGCATTTTATGAGCTTCATGCATATTAAAAATGTTGAATGTTGTTTGTAATTTGAATACAATTGGACCATTACATCACATTTTATTAGGCTTTTAATTATTCAAAAATTTGACCCTTAGCGTGGGTGGTACTTGATGGAGTATACCGATTTTGTCCATTTTTGCACCTGGCCTAGCACTGATGCAAATATTACGATTTGCAAAGTTGGAGGAAAATCGGATTTTCCTTTCTCTTTCTGTGCACTAAAATATTCATTTGAAAATTTCGACCTATTGTGGGGGAGTGGACCGATATACTCATCTCAGAACTCGATTTAAGTTTTACAATAATATTACAATATACCAAGTTTGGACCAGATGGGATAAGAGACCTGTGGTCTAAAACCGACACGTTTTGGCCGTATCAAATGATATATACCCGCTCTAGCCATATGGTTGAGGGTATAAAAAAAGCAGTAATTCATATAAATATAAACCCATACTTTATGAAGCTGAAGCATCAGCAAAAGAGAGAACTAAGATCTCTTGGAATATTTTTCCCTCGACAATGAAAGATTGATACTTTTTACAGAAACTTTGATAATTTTAGCAAATTTTATGGAAAAAATGCAATATTCATATGCATCAAACGGAATCTCAAATTCTCCTTGTTTAAATTCGACAAGGATATTGGAGATTAAAATGCCAAATCCATGTCATGAGGTAATAATTAAATTTCCACAACGAGCCATAACGTGGAAACGATCAATAACTATGCGATTTCTTTATAGTTTAGGACTTTGTAAAACGGTCTTCTAACAGAAGAGGCACAATTTTGAGTTTCAATCAATTCCACCTCCTATTTCTAGAAAATAAAACAAAAATACAGATTTTTCACGAGTTTATGGCATTTTGTATAAATCTCTTAACATGGTTAATTGACGTATAAACTCCGGGATAACTCCTGCGTGCACAACCAATACCAAATGAAACAATACCACAAAGTTCTCCCCTATGCAACAAGGGTCCACCGGAATCGCCTGAACAAGAATCCCTTTGGCCCGGTATTGAGGCACACATCATGGTCGGCGAAAGCTGCAACATTCGGCGATAATTTCGTCTACACGTCGGTTTCGCTATCATACGCACATTAACCGTACGCAATTGTCTCGATGGTATCTTATTGGTTTCTTTTGTTAAACCCCAACCGGAAACGTTAACCCAATCATTGGTTCGAAGCTGATGAGAGCACAAACGAATTGTGGCAATATTACGACCAACCATTGGTCGGCGTAATTTCAAAACAGCCACATCCATTGTAAAGTTTTTCATATTGAATATTTTCGGCACGGTTATCTGCTCTACAGCTCTCTTGACTCCGACCTGAGTTAGATACGTCGCTCCGCCGTGAACTTTAAAGTCAGAGGCCCTTAGTCCTTCCATGCAATGAGCTGCAGTTACCACATAACGTCTGGCCACCAGAGAGCCTCCACAAAAGAACTGACCATTGTTGTAACGCAGCGATACAATATATTTTGTCTTGCTAATGGTGGTTGTCTTTCCACCAACAATGCGCAGCTTATCGACAGCATTGCCCTGTGCCTCCCTGTAAACAAGTAAGGCCAGAAAAATGAATATCCCCGTTAGTTGCTTCATTTCAACGAATAATGGGTGTTCATTCAGGAAAACTTATTTATAAGTTGATTTTAATGTTCGGAATTTACATTTTTGAGATTTGATGTTTGTTCAAGTGTTCAGGAACAAATGTTTTACATCGTACATATGCTGTTTTAACCTTGTGGACGCATTTTCTGACACAGTAACCCAATCGGAGGCGAATGAACACGTGTGCCGTATTAACTATTATAATTCTAATATAAACTTCAAATGTTTCCCATTTTAATGTGTTACATTGAGCATTGTTTAAAATCAATGAAATTTACATCTGTGTAACATATTTTTTAAACCTTGAACTTTGGAAATAAAGAACAAGGTCTTACAAATACAATATTATCAAGAACAAATATTTTGTGATTTATCCAGGGTTTAATTGTTTACTTCCAAGCAAATAAGTCGCTGACACATGAAATGAAAACAATGCTTTAGTTCTTTGCCAATTAACTCGTGCCTAAATTATTTTTAAAAATTTCATCGCTTCTAATAGTGAGTGAAATATTCTTAATTTTCCCATCACTGCGAGGTTCCCTTGAATCATAAATGGAAGATTGACATTGAAAATGAGAAATATTTGTCCAGATTTAGTTATAGGAGGTTTCGGTATCAACTTCCAAAGAAAAGGCTGTAATTCGAAATTTTCTGCCCTAAATTTTGTGTTAGCAAAATGTTTGTATGTGTGAAATTGGATGGTTATTTCGCTTTCTTTGAACGTTTTGTTTTTCAAAATCTATCATCTCTATATCAGATCTTGTGTTGATAAAAATATTGAGATGTACCAAGTCTCAATGGAATCGGATGTTAATTTCGCGTATTATGAGATTCATGGTTATTCAAAATGTTGACCCTTTGTGAGGGTCTTTACAGCAGACCTTGTGTTAGTAGAAGTATTTGGATGTGTAAAACTTGAAGAGAATCAGATGATTTTTTTAGATTTTAGTAATAATTGCGCTTATTCAAAACTTTGACCCTTTGTGGGAGATGTACCAGAACGAATGGTCCGTTCTCTATCCACTTTATAAGAGATCTTATGTTGATAGAAATACTGAGATGTGCCACGTATGAATGGAATCGGATGTTAATTTGACGTTTTATGAGCTTCATGGATATTAAAAATGTTGACCATTTGTGGACTGATCTCTTCCATCTTCACACCAGCCCTTGGGTTAATCAAAATATTGTGATGTATGTAATTTGAAGAAAATCGGAGTCCTATATCACATTTTATAAGAGTTATAATTATTCAAAATGTTGATCTTTTGATAATAATGCAAGTTTCACACAAATCGGATACTTCCTTCGAGAGTTATCGTGCGCACAAGCCAGCCAGACAGACAGACATCGCTAGATCGACTCCAAATGTCCTGAAACGGATTTGGTCCAAAGAGACATAGGGTCTAAAACCGTTATGAGGCACGTATTAGCTGTATCAAATGACATATACCCTCTCTAGCCATATGTCTAGACCTCCATATCTAAACCTTAGATATCAACCGAGATCTCATATCAAATTTCGGGATTCAGTCTACCCTTGCACACAGTACACGATTTTGTACCACATATTACCATTTCATACATATAGTGCACATTTCCAGAACCACCTCCATATATCAATTCCCGATATCACCAGAGAGCTCAATATCAAATTTGAGGATTCCAGCCTTATTCATTCACTCAATATCAAATTTAGTACCATTTAGTACTTTTCGTACAAACATAGAACTCATTTCCAAACCACCGCCAAATCTCAAACACAAATACCACCAGTAATCTAAATATCAAATTTCAGAATTATATCTTTATCCCTTCGCCCAATACTAAATATAGTACAATTCGACAATTTTCGGACAATTGAAGTACATATTGCCGAAACCACCTCCATATGTCCTACACATAAACAGCGAACCCCAATAGACAATTTCATCTGTTCACCCTAAACTAAAATGATCCAAATTTAGTACCATTTAGTACAGTTCGCAAACTTAGTACACATTTCCAACTTCGATTCTCATACCTGTTCACATAATACTAAATGGTACTATATTAGAACTTTTCGTAACGTTAAAGTTGCAGTTTCCAAAAAACCTTTAGTACATTATTTCTGCCCTCCATCAGTGCCTCTCATTCCAAATTTCACAATTCTAGTTCATTTCGTTTGTCCAATACTAAGTATTCCATTTTTAAGTATATTTTAGTACTTTTCGCATCCTTTTAGTACCCAGCCTTATCACACGCTTACACACCAAGACTTACCCTCGTGCAAAATTCTAACTTCAACTGTTTCGTCTGGGCGTTGATTCTCGGTCAGTCAGCACAACGAATATGTTGAGGAGCCTGTTGATGATTTTGAAATTATTTTAAAGGGGTTTCCTCACGAAGTTAATTTACAATGTTAAAATTCCGTTCTGTTCTCTGCTACTAATGTATTTATATCACCCTCATCGACTAGACGACATATGACATATGTGGAAGATTGAACCCCTATCTCGCGGAGCTTGCACGCGAGAAATATGAAAATATCCGCCACGAAATCAACGACCACACTCTTTACCACATAGTCTGCGGAGATGAGAACGCAGCTGAATGTGCAGGTCGAGGGAAATTTAATACCGACCACTCACTACCTCAAGATTCTAGGGGTCATATTCGACAGCATGTGCGACAAGTAGGAACAATGTCCCCAAGGCGCTAGACGCCACCAATTGGTGTTGCGGACAAAGAAACCTTTTTGACCTCTTATAAGGAGATAGGTCGATCTGTGGTCAGCTATGCGGCTCTAGTGTGGCCTGATAATACTAGTTCTACGCAGTGGAAGCACATCCAGTCCTGCTTGAATGCTGCCCTGCGACAGGGTGCCTCCCATGACACCAGTGGACAAGCTACATGAGGAGGCGAAAGTCCTTCCATTACGTCAGCATAATCATTTGCTTTCGTTGCAGTACCTGCTTGGGTGTTACCGTGAGAGTCATCCCAACCATGATATGGAGGATACACCTCCCCCCAGGCGTGTCAGGAAGGACATACATGATCTAGAAATGGATGTCCAGCGCTATAAGAGAGAACGTCTAGATCAAGAAGCCATCAGATTGAATGCAGTCCTCGGTGAATAAGCACCCGCCATTGCAGCTGCAGAACGTCAGCTGCCTAGACAAGCCAGGGTAATATTGGCGCAATTACGTTCAGGGTGGTGCAGCCGTCTCAATTCTCATGAGCGCAAATTGACGAAGAAACAACTGATTCACTGAATGTGGTCTCATGATCTCCATATGCCCCATACTACTGCCAATGCCACTATTGCCGTCAGAATGACAAGCTCATACAAGATATCTATAAGAAACAAGTAAAGAAGCTGTTAGTTCCGCCGGGCCGAACTTTGAATACCCTCCACCATTTGGAAACAACTTGGCAATTTTTAAAATAATAACATCCGTTGAAAATTCTGAAAAATACCGCATGTAGCCGTTATATTAGGGTCTATACGATGACGTGGACCTGCATAGACAACTTTTGTCATAAGCCATTACAATATTCAAATGCGAAACATGAAAATAACAATTCGTTGAATAATGTTGCTAAAATCATCAAAATACCGAATATCGGGAGGTACCGTTGTATGGGGGCTATACGAAGACGTGGACCTGCACAGACAATGTTCTGTCATAGGCTGTAGTTTCCATTACAAACTTCAAATACCAAATTCTAAAAAATTTCGGTAAATAATGTCGCGCTAAAATCGTCAAAATACCGAAAATAGGGAGGTACCATTATGTGGGGGCTATACAAAAACGTGGACCTACATGGCCCATTTTCCGTACCGAAAGTCCTGCAGACATAATATACCTTTGATTAAAGATTTATCAAGCTACTTTATTTCGTTCGAAAGCTAGAGTGATTTCCACAGATGGGTAGACGAACGGACATCGCTAAATCGACATAGAATTTTATGCTGATCAAGGGTATATATACTTTGTGGGGTCTAAAATGTTTATTTCGAGCTGTTGCAACGGAATGAACCCCCATTTTATGGTGGAGTGTATAAAATGCATTGCCTGTCAGTAGTACTGGTAACCATGTCGTTAGTAAGTCAGTATTTTTTCGGGCGATCCCAAACTCGAAATATTGTTGTTATTTTTATTGTATTACGATTTTTATTGTTTGCCATTTCTAAAATATTTATTAAAATTAATTTTTCTTAATTCTAAATTGAGGACACATTTAAAGTTTCATAGCTCTATCGATAAAATTACGCACGGACTTGATGCTCGTGTAGACACCGGGATACTTAGTACTGGCACAACGTAAACCCCACGAAACAATTCCGCACAATTGATTTTGAAATATGGCCGGTCCGCCCGAATCCCCATAGCACGAATCCTTGCCCTTGGCCAAGTCGCCAGCACAAAACATTGAATCCGTTATGGTTTCACGTTGACGATACGCCTCCACGCATTTACTGCGCAACACAAGGGGCACACGAACTTTACGCATTTGTTGAACTTGTGCCTTGTTATTTTCCGCCAACTGACCCCATCCATAGACATCAATATAATCTCCAAACTTCCAGTTTGCTTCACACAATGGTATCGTTTCAATATTGTCACCCTTCATGTCCGATGCCAGTTTCAATACAGCTACATCCATGTGATAGGGTTTGGGTTTGTTATAGTTTTGAGGTTTTATAATTTTGGTAACGCTGCGCCTTACACCCGGTTCGGAGAGGCGGGTAGCTCCACCCACCACCGTGACTTTGGAGGGATTAACACCGTCTATACAATGGGCGGCGGTAATGACAAATTTGGGAGACACCAAACTGCCGCCGCAGATGAACTTGCCATTTATCCGCAAATAAACCAAATATTTTGCCTTATCAATGGTGGTGGCATCACCTCCAACTATGCGAGAATTGATTTCGGCAGCTTGAACACTTGAGTTATTTTCTCGGGCATTTGGTTGTTGTAGTGGCAACAGGAGTACAGATAGAGCTATGATTGTCCATGGCAGGTGTAACTTCTTGGACATTTATAATATTTTCGTTGGAAGATGGAACATTTGATGTAGGCAATAATTTATTTTTTTTTTTTTTAGTTTTTGTAGTTAAATTCCGTGTAGTCCAGATTCCGCTGCAGTATCCGGAACATACTGCAATGTTTCGAACTTAATCAATTAATTTCAAATAAACTTCCATTTCAGAGAATTTCCTAATTTATAGAATTTGTAATGAATGAACCGTTCATTGCATGCATTTTGCTGACAAGATTTCCGATCTTTATCGAAATTTGTTTTTTTTTTATTTTAAAAAACAAAGCCCTATGACGTTGTGGCGTAGATTTTTAATAAAAAAAAAACATTTTGAAATATATGTGGTAAATTAGTATTATTATATGAGTCTCCAATTAAAATGTGGCCAAGAGAAGTTAGAAAGTTTTATTTGGTGTTTTGAAAGACATATATCTTCATTATTCTATACCCTTTTTGGGGACGTTTACTGGACTTTTACAGACACAAAAACTATTTAGTCAAATATAAAAACCTATCCACGCGGAAGTATTTTTCCACTGGAAACATTTATCTTGAGAGATCATAAAAAAGTGGGATTAAATAATTTATAAACTTGGCAACACTAATAGGTCTTTTTCGTGCCTTGAGTACCCTATTTCTTGAGCACATGGGTGCAAACCTAAAGTGCCTTTATTTCTTATAAAAATTAAGTAATTTAAATGAACAAATGTACAATATTAGCATTCGAATATACAGGGTGTGATGAAAAAACTGCAACCAGCTTCAGACTGCTGTCATTTTTATGCCACTCGTCCGACAGCTGTTAAAATTATTCCAGTGACAGTTCATTATATTGTTTACAAGCGTACAAAAGCAATTTGTTGAGAATTTTCCAGTATGATTTCTTTATATTTGGCTGGAAAACCACAAGTGGCTATCCTTAGGGCACTCTAGCGTTTAAATGTGAATAAATCTTTGATGTGTCTCCTACCATCGGCCGCCATAACAGTCGATGGTTGGAAGTGGACAGAAGAAAACAGCAACATAAGCAGAAATGGTTGGAAAAGTAAAGAAGCGACTTGATCGAAACCCGCGTCGCATTGGACGAAAAATGGCTTGTGAGCTGAACATATCGCAATATTCCATTCGGCAAATATTAAAAAATGAGCTCGGGATAAAGCCATTGAAATTCCAAAAAGTGCAAGAACTTACACCGCAACGAAAAGAAGAAAGAGTTGCTTCGCTTGGCCGAAAGTGGTGAACTGTCGAAGTTGGTCGCGTCGCAGTGGCTGAAAAATGGCTCGTGAGCTGAACATATCGCAATACTCCATTCGGCAAATATTGCAAAATGAGCTCGGGATAAAGCCATTGAAATTCCAAAAAGTGCTAGAACTTACACCGCAACAAAAAGAAAAAAGAGTTGCTTAGCTTGGCCGAAAGTGGTGAACTGTCGAAGTTGGTCGCGTCGCAGTGGCTGAAAAATGGCTCGTGAGCTGAATATATCGCAATATTCCATTCGGCAAATATTGAAAAATGAGCTCGGCATAAAGCCATTGAGATTCCAAAAAGTGCAAGAACTTACACCGCAACAAAAAGAAAAAAGAGTTGCTTCGCTTGGCCGAAAGAGATGAACTGCCGAAGTTGGTTTTCTCCAATGAGAAAACATTCGTTTCCAGCAGTTTGTAAACAAACAAAATGATCGTGTTTACTTGTCAAAGAGGTCAACTGAAAATATGCACCTTCGGTTGGCCACCAGAACTCAAGCGCCGGCCGTGGTGATGGTGTAGGCCGCCATAACAGCCGATGGTCGCCCTCCGCTCGAATTAATTGACCCTGGTATCAGAATAAATGCCGTATATTATCACGAAAATATTCTGGATGGTGTATTAAAGCCTTGGGCGTGCAAACATTTTGGACATTCCGCAGACCTTGGACATTCCAAAAGGACTCAGCACGGGCCACCCAAGAATGGTTACAAAATGAGGTTCCTCGCTTCATTTCCAGCACACAATGGCCACCAAAATCTCCCGACACCAATCCGTTGGACTATTGTGTCTAAAGTATTTTGGAAAGCAAGGTTGGCACTAAAAAATACCAAAGTGTCGATCACCTCAAGCAAGCGATTCACCGGGAGTGGTCCAAAATACCGCAGAGCAACATTCGGGCAGCATGTGACGGTTTCATTGGCCGTTTGAAGGCCATAGTTCGTACCAAAGGTGACCAATTCCAACAAATCTAATTTGATGCTATTTCCGACATTTTTCGCTTCTATTCAAAAAAATAAAAAAGTAAAAATTGTGGCGTTTGACTTTGTTGTAGATTTTTGTATCTCACCCCGTATATGAGAGCTATAGCTATGTCTGAACAAATTTGATGTAATTGCCTCTGGATTGTATTCGGTGGGATGTACCAAAATTCAGGTCATTTGGACTTATATTGGCCATTTGGTGAACAATTAACCCGAAATCGGTTGAAGATATATGCTATATCTACATCTGATCCGATTATCACCAATTTCAATAGGGTTCGTTCTTGGGCCAAACAAATATTGTTTGGAAAATTTCATCTCAATCGGATAATAAATGCGACCTGCATTCATTTTTTCATTTTTAGTATATTTTAGTACTTTTCGTGTACTTTTAGTAAAAATTTCCAAAAACTCAGTCCTATCACATGCCTACGCGCCAAGACTGACCATGGTGCAAAATTGTAAAATTGTAGCTTATGCCGTTTCGTCTGGGCGTTGATTCTTAGTCAGTTTTCTACTATATACGAGTATATAGAAGATTAAAAATTTTGTTTAAAATATTGTTTTTTTTTTTAATAATTAATCCTTTTTTGAATTTTCAAAAAGAAAATACAAATTTGAGAGCCTTCATGATACCTACATTTTCTCCCTCGGATCTAATTTCCGAGAGCAACTTCTGAGTAGGATACAAAAAAGAGAAGAAAAAAAAAACATTTCACAAAACAAAACTAAGCTTGACATGTTTTTAATAATTTTCTACAACATTTTCAATGAATCTCTTAACGGCATTGATATTGGTATAAACTCCAGGATAGATGTTACTGGCACATTCTCGACCCCAAGATACCACACCGCATAGTCGATTGTCATAGATTGCTGGTCCGCCAGAATCGCCATAACATGCATCTCTGTACCGCAAATCTCCAGCACAAAACATTGATGGCGTTATTCGCATAAAATATTTAAATGCCTGCCTACACTGCTTCTGTTCTATAAATGGGACCTGGACCATCCGCAAACGATTTGAGGAATCCTTATAACGGGTTCTACCCCAACCATAAACGTTAAGCTGAGGAAAGCTTTTGCTGTTACAAAGTTGAATCGTTGAAATATTTTCACCGCGCATATTAGATGTAAGCACCAGTACTGCCAGATCTTTATTCAATGCGGGCCGGTTGTAATCCTTGGGTATAAATACCTTTCGAACATATCTCTTGATTCTTTGTTCACTCAGCAATGTTGATCCGCCCATAACGGTTAGGGTAATTGGCCAGCGACCAGCAACGCAATGAGCAGCAGTTACCACATGGCGGGGACTCACTAAACTGCCAACACATTTGTAGGTGCCAAACACCCGAATACTCACAACGAAATTAGCTTCCGCAATGGGAATGCCGTTTATTATGCGCGGGAGTGAATTTGAATTCCTCCGATATCCATCCGGGTCATATGATGCAAAAACTATGAGTGCCAAAATGAATAGAATTAATAGTTTAATCATAGCTCGCACCAGGTAAGGTGTAACTCGAAACAGTTTGTAAGATTAGTCAGTTGTTATATATATTCGAAAACCCAAACATTCCAAGCCAATGAAATGTGCCGGCAATAAATCTTTTACAAGGGAAATATTGCAAAAATCTTTAGTAGTTAATATTTTTCTATTAAAATTATAATTGAAAAATTTGTAATAGAAAAAAGTAGTCTTTAGAAAATTTTTCGGATTTTAAATTAAAATAAGTAAAACAAATCTAATGTCGAACGAGATCAACCAAAGTATCCAAAATTATAGACTTTATCCCTTGGCTAAAACCTAGTTTCTTGCAAAAGTCGGTATTTAATGGTCTCTTCCAGAACTTCAAGAATGTAAAAGTTTTTACTACGATAACGATAACAAGTTAAAAAACAGTAAGTTCGGCCGGGCCGAACTTTGAATACCCTCCACCATTTGGAATGAATTTGGAAAATTTTTAAAAAATTAAATTCTTAAAAATTTCTTTTTTAATTTTAAAAATACCGAATATAGCCGTTTTATTGGGATCTATACGACGTGGGCCTACAAAGGCATTGTTTATCATAAGCCATATTCAAATTCAAAAACTTAAAATATACGGTGAATAATGTAGCTAAAATCATCAAAATATCGTATATAGAGAGGTACAGTTATATGGGGGCTATACGAAGACGTGGACCTACACAGACAATTTTCTGTCATAGGCTGTAGTATCCATTACGAACATCAAATACCAAAATTAAAACAATTCCAGTAAATAATGTCGCTAAAATCATCAAAATATCGCATATCGGGAGGTACCGTTATATGGGGGCTATACGAAGACGTGGACCTACATGTCCCATTTTCAATACCAAAAGTCCTGCAGACATAATACACATACTTTATGGGGTCTAAAATGTTACAAACAGAATGACAAACTTGATATACCCTCCATACTATGGTGTAGGGTATAAAAAAGAACAAGTTAAATATAATCAGTCCGTATTGCATTACGAAATTATTGACCCTTCATAGGAGGTGTTCCGAATAAATGGGCCAATATTATAATTATTGAAAATTGTTATCCTTTGTAGGAGATATACCAGAAGGGGTGGACAGATATCTATAACATTTATAAAATATCTTGTATGGCACGAGATATTTAAATGTGCGAAATTTGAAGAGAATCTGATGCTTAATTCGAGTTTTGTAAAATTTATAATTATTCAAAATTTTGACCTATTTTGGAGTATAAAGGAGTGGTCCGATTTTGTTCATTTTCATAACAACTCTTTTGTTGATAGAAGTATTGGGATATACCGATGCTGATTTCGCGTTTTATGAGCTTAATTGATATTCCAAATTTTGACCCGTTGTGGGGGAGGTACTAGAAGCAGAGGTCCTTTCAATCTGTTCTTCATACCAGTTTTCGGTTAGTGGAAATATTGAAATGTGCAAAATGTGAAGATAATCGGACTCTTAGTTCACATTTAATAAGAGTCAAAATTATTCTAAATATTAGCCCTTTGTGGGGGGAGGTACCAGAAGGAAACGACCAACATCTATCATCTTCACACAAGATCTTGCTTAAGTAGAAATAATGGGGTGTGTAAAATTTTAAAAGAATCGGATGTTAATTTCGAGTTTTAATCCTCAAAATTTTGACCCGCTGTGGGGGAGGTACCAGAAGGTGTGGATCGATATAGCCCATCTTTACACAAGATCTTATGCTGGAAAAAGTATTAGAGTGTGTGTAATTTGAAGACAATCGGGTTCATATTATACATTTTATAAAAGTTATAATTATTAAAAATTTTGACCCGTTGTGGGGGAGGTACTTGATGGAGTGGACCGATATTATACATTTTCGTGCCGAACCTAGAACTGATGCAAATATTTCGATTTACAAGGTTGGGGCAAAATCGGATAGTCCTTTCTCTTTCTATGTAGAAAAACATTTTCTTTTAAAAATCCGACATTTTCTGGGGGAGGTACCAGAAGGACAATTATCCAGTAACATCAGCTGATTATGAATGGACTGTTGTTGACCGCTCTGAAAATTCAATCAATAATTTTTATTGTTCAGAAAAACCGCATTCATATTTTTATACCCTTCACCATAATATGAAGGGTATATTAAGTTTGTCATTCCGTTTGTAACATCTCGAAATATACATTTTAGAACCCACAAAGTAGATATATTTTTGATCAGCATAAAATATGTATTATGTCTGCAGGACATACCGATATTCGGTATTTTGATGATTTTAGCGACATTATGTACCGGAACTATTTCAAATTTAGTATTTGAAGTTCGTAATGGATACTACAGCCTATGCCAGAAAATTGTCTGTGCAGGCTTCTGACAAAAGTTACGTATGCAGGTCCACGTCGTCGTATAGACCCTAATATACGACTACTTTCGGTATTTTTAAGATTTTAACAGAATTTTTAATGGATTTTAATTTTTTGAAAATTAAAAAGCCCGAACGAACATACCGCTTTTTTACTTGTTTTAAATAAATTTTTCTAAATACAATTTTAAGTTTTATTTGATTTTCTTAAGCTTTGAAAATGTAACGAATACATGTTGCGCCACAGTTTCTGTCTTTGATAGATTTTACAGATTGTTGTTCGAAAAGTTTTTGCAATATTTGTACTGAATTTTCCCCAATATATGTTACTGAGCAATTTTTTGGATAAAATTTATCATACGTATTTAATATTGATAAAAAAAACTCTTGTATCAAACTCACAATTGTTTTTGGGTCGCTATGCACTTAAAAGAGATTACATTATTACTCATCGTAATTGGAGTCGACTCCTTTGTGAAAAAAACTCTGAAATTCGTATTTGTGACGTAGGCCTGTGATATCTAAAGTCACATGAACTATTACATATATTTCTGTATGAATGGTAGACTGGCGGCCAATTATCCATATTATTTTTATTATAATCGACGTTCCATGTAAATAATTTCATCGAATTTGAGGTGAAATCTAAACTCCACATCAATACTTAGTTTTAGTATTATTCGATGGCTTCCATCAATAGAATGTTCACATTACTGTACGGAATATCAATCTACATAATTTGCTGCAATGCTGCCAAGCACAGGAAATCGCCGAGTGTGCCCAGCAGTGATCCTCGTATTGTTGGAGGTGAAGAGATCACCATTGACCGAGTACCGTATTTAGTAAATTTACGTCAAAATGGACAATTTCGGTGTGGTGGCTCACTGATAACGCCCAATTGTGTTCTAACAGCTGCCCATTGTGTTTATCGCATAACTGCCAATAGTTTAACTGTAGCAGCTGGTGCTTCAAAACTTTCCGGCAACGCGCAAATACGACAAGTTCAACAAACATTTGTATCGGCATTTTATAAACCCAACACCTTGGATATGGATGTGGCCATTATGAAGTTGAGTCAACCTCTAATGGGGGCAAATATTGCAACGATACCTTTGTGTTCCCAAAAGCCCGATGATGGTGCATTTGTTCAGATATCGGGTTGGGGTTATACAAGTGAAACCAACCGCCAGCCATCGGATCAAGTTCGCTCGGCTACGGTACGTGTGGTCCCACGCGCCGAATGCTCCCAAGCCTATGAAGGACAGGCAACGCTAACAAGCAGCATGTTTTGTGCCACAATACCGGGTCAAAGGGATTCATGTTCCGGTGATTCTGGCGGTCCGGTTGTTTACAACGGCCAGGTGTGCGGCATTGTTTCATGGGGATTTGGTTGTGCACGTCCTGAATTTCCAGGTGTCTACACAAATGTGGCCAGCCTGAGAGTTAATACCTACATTCGTAGTATTGCAATGGCGAATTGTCTATAGAGTGAATAAAATGAATAAACAAGTTTACCTCAAAAATATTTGTTAAATTTATTTCGCTAAGAGTTTTCATATGATATCTTAACGAAAATGTTAACAACTGAAACTTACTCGTATAATCCATGATTTAGACTGACCTACCCTACCATATACCCCACCTTCGAGAATTTTCACCGCAAAAGTTGAGCACATTCAATTTTTACAGAATTTATTTTTATACCCTTCACCCCATGGTGGTAAGGTTATTATGGATTTGTACATTTGTTTGTAACATGGAGAAGGAAGCAAGATACACCCATAGGTTCTTTTAGGGATCTTCATAGAATCACTTTCTGAGTCGATTTATGCATGTCAGTCCGTCTCTCCGTGTATTCTTGTGAATAAACGAAGGTCGCTTTTATTATCCGATTGAGATGAAACTTTCCAAACAATATTTATTTGGCCCAAGGACGAATCCTATTAAAATTGGTGAGAATCGGTTCAAATTTAGATGTAGCTCCCTGTATATATGGGAGCTGAAAAGAGATGAAAAAACTGCAACTTTATTCAGACAGCTGCAATTTCTAAGCCACTCGTCCGACAGCTGTTAAAATTATTCCAGTGACAGCTCATTATATTGTTTACAAGCGTACAAAAACATTTTGGTGAGAATTTTCCAGAAAAAAATTATTCGCGATGGAATCCAAGCGTGATAGTGTGATTTCTTTATATTTTGCTGGAAAACCACAAGTGGCTATATAAATATTATCGCGAAAATATTCTGGAGGGTGTATTAAAGTCTTGGACACGCAAACATTTTGGCCGCAGACCTTGGACATTCCAACAGGTCTCAGCGCCATCGCACTCAGCACGCGCCATCCAAGAATGGTCACAAAATGAGGTTCCTCGCTTCATTTCCAGAATTTTATCAAGATCGACTAAGACTTGGATATAGCTCCCTTATAATATCCTTAATCCGATTTTAGGTTTACTGTGCAAATAATGGCTAATATCAGCCCAAATGGAGTGAATTTCAGGACGTACGTTTCCATTTGGCGGAACTCGGCTGAGACACATATTTTTTTAATATAATCCTTCTCGAAGTTATATCATGCACTCTATACCAATGTTATTTTGTATAAAAGATAAAAATGTCTCCGTTTAGTGAAAATCATTTTAGAATTGGATATGCCTCCCGTATATTAGTTTCCTCTGAAACCAAATTATAACTGCTCTAAAGCCAAATGTTGAGAGGTGTATTATCTACTTCAAATAATTTTTTTTGCTACAGGAGCTTTACTTAATATGCATAGCGGTGTGGGTATCATATAGTCGGCCCCGCCCAACTTTTGACTTTGCCTTACTGGTCTTTTATATTACTCTCTCTGTGAGAAATTTGAAATGTTACTAATAACAAATTTTTTCTCTGAATTATATTTTATTGTTTATTAATTTTCTTAATATAACATTTAATTAGTGTTCAAATTAGAACTCAATGATAAGAGGAATTAAAAGGAATGAAGATATAAAACAGTACTTTCTTAGTAGAAAGCAAATGTTCCTTTTTAATGCAAATGTAGTGGTGTATAACATCACTAGGTCGCCCTCGGCCCGGCCCTTTCTTGTTATCTTCCAATTCAATTCCTTTAAATGATTTGCCAATTGAAACGGTGTATTTATAGCTTTTTTTAAATTAATCCCTAAAAGTATGCTCTAATTTATTGTCATTATATTTTAAGCTCTCAGCTATGATTTCATTATCACACCGTTGTTTACAATTACGTTTGTTGAACTGTAAATAAACCTTTGTAGTAACACATGATCTCAACGGAGGTCAAACATACATAAATAAGTTTAGTAGTTTAATGCCAAATTGTAACTTTTCTCAAAACATGATCTATAAAAGAACTCTCAAATCGATTTCCGAACAGTTCATTTGATCTCTTTGCAATATGATCATCATCAGATATTTATTAGTTGTCAGTTTATCTTTAAGTTATGTACACAGTAGTCGTCGTTCGACGTCACGTACACCACGTATTATCGGCGGTCGAAGGGTCCTTGTTGAGGAAATACCCTATATGGTTAATATACGTAGTAATGGAAGTTTCCATTGTGGCGGATCTCTGATCACATCGAAATGTGTTGTTACAGCTGCTCATTGTGTGAAATATAGTAAACCCAAAGAATTGGCTGTTAGAGCCGGTGTTACGTATCTAAGGGAGCGGCGTAATCTACGAATGGTTTCGAGAATCATAAAACATCCGAAATATAATATCAAAACCATAAACTTTGATGTTGCCATATTGGTATTGAAATCACCGCTGCGTGGTAGGAACATTCGAACAATACCTTTGGCATTTAGACCACCACCAAATGGCTCCATTGTCAGGGTGTCTGGTTGGGGTTTGGAACGAGAAAATGGTTATATTTCCGAGCAACTAAAATCGGCACAACTGGGAGTTATATCACGAAGGCGATGTGCGAATTTCTACAAAGGTCTTCGCAATATTACCGATGCAATGTTTTGCGCTTTTGTACCGGGCCAGAGGGATGCTTGCCAGGGTGATTCTGGTGGTCCTGCCGTGCTCGATAACCGTTTGGTGGGCATTGTGTCATGGGGTCGTCGCTCACAATGTGCTCGACGAAAATCACCAGGAGTTTATGTTAATATAGCCCACGTTAAGCATTGGTTTGATGCTGTAATACCAAAACATTGTTATTGACAAAATAAATCGATGATAAAAAATATATATATTTTTATAAAAAAGTTTTTCATTTTTGTTATTTTATAGCAATTTATTCAAAATTGTACTGATTTTGTAATTTTAAAAATTTAATGAATGAGTGAATTTTTCTCGAGAAATCATTCTTGCAATCTTGAATAATTGAGTATAAATAATTTACAAATATGGCAACGCTAATGGGTCTTTTTCGTACCTTGTGCATCCTATTTATTGTGCAAAATGGTGCAAATTTGAAGGACTTCTTTTGAAAACTATTTAAAATGTATCTATATATAAATTAGTAGTGAAATAACTAACTGGCCGAAAGTCAACCCCCAGACGAAACGGCTGAAGCTAGAATCTTGAAATTTTGCACGAGGATTTATGTGCGTAGGCTTGTGATAAGGCTATTTGGATAAGGAAATTCGTACTAAAGGTATACAAAAATGTACTAATAATCAAAAGCATCGTATTGATTTAAAATTCTGAAATTTGGAATGAGAGTCAACGAAGGAGTGCAAGATAGATATTCCAAAGGGTTTTTGGAAATTCGAGCTTTAAGGTTACGTAAAGTTCTAAAATGGTACTAAACTTCTAAATGTACCAAAATGTACACTTGGCATTATGTAAGGTTCTAGGTTAAAAAGTATGTTTGATATATGAAGGTGGTAATGGAAATGCGTAATAGGTGTGTAAACTGTACTAAATTTAGAACAGTTTTGTTTCGGGGGAACAGATAAATATGGAATTTTGAAATTTTTAATTGGGGTCTCAGTTGCTGGTAGATTTGTGAAAAAGGGGTGGTTTTGGAAATCTGAACTACAAGTGCACGAAAAGTACTAAATAGTACTACATTTGGTAAAATTTGGTATCGGCTTGAAATCGGAAATTTGGAGGTGATTTGGGAAATGTGTACTATAATTGTACGAAAAGTACTAAATGGTACTAAATTGCGTATTGGGTGGAGGGATATAACTGGAATACTCAAATTCGATATAGAGGTCTCTGCTGTTATCTGAAATATTGTACGAAAAATACTAAACAGTACTAAGTTTGGTATTGGGTGAAGGGATAGAGATAAAATTATGAAATTTCATATTTAGATAACTGTTAGTATCCGAAGTCGAGATTAGGAGTTGGGGTTTGAAATAAGTACTATCGTTGTACAAAAAGTACTAAATGGAACTAAAGGGCTAGTTCTGGTCAAATTTGTCAAATTTAATATTAGGTTCTCTGTTAGTATCTACAATTGAGATATAAAGGTCTCTTGGAAATAGTACACATTTCCATTTTCAATTTACGAAAAGTATTAAATAGTACAAAATTTGATATTTAGTGAAATACTAGAGCTGAAATCCTAAAGTTTGATGCTGATTTTATTGTTAGTGTCCGTGGTAAAAATATGGAGATGGTTTTGTAAATGTGCCTTATTTTTGTACGAAAACCGTGAAATGTTATATTGGGATAACTTGTGGTACCTAGGATTGATGGTTTTGGATGGTTTTGCAAATAAGTACTAAAATTATACGAAAAGTACTAAATGTTACTTAATTTGGTATTGAGTACATGTATAGAGCTCGAATCGCAAAATTTAATATTAAAGTCTCTTTTGGTATCTGGTGCTGAGATTTGATGATGGTTTTGCAAATGCGTGCTATAATTGTTTGAAAAGTACTAAATTTGATATTGGGCGAAGGTATAGCGCTGAAAACCTTCAATTTGATATGGATGTTACTGTTTGTGACTGTGGTTAAGAGAAGCAGCTGGTTTTGGATTTGCGCACAATAATTGCACTAAATGGTACTACATTTGGGTAATGGGAGAATTTAAAGATGCTACTAACTTTGGATAACTTTGGTGTCTAGGTTGAAGAGATGTAGATTATTTTGGATATGCGTACTAATTGCTACTAAATTTGGTATTGGGTGGAGAAATTGAACTGAAATCCTGAAATTTGATATTGAGGTCTGATTTTGCTTCATGTATCGTAGGTTTTGCATACATACAAATTTTCACTAACACCACTAAATTGCATGTCATGCATTTTGACCGTGAACGGGGCACTTAAGAATTTGCAAACTGTCAGTGGCTAAAGTGTCAAAATTGCTCTCTCTCTCTTTTCTCGCTCTCTCTTACTCGAATTTTGGGTTAACGAGCAACGTTTTGTAATAATTTGAACAAATTATACAAATTGCACATCTATTATTGGTCTCTCTCAGAATCTGCAAGAATGTACAAATGTTACTAAGGTTTTTTAACCAAACATATAGTTAATTGGGAATTCTTTTTCCAGCTTTTACTAAAACATTTTTTATTGATTTTTTTTCAGTATTCCTTGCAACGGATGTCTCCAACAATAAACAAAAAGTCCACTCCGTAATACACATGGATATTGGAGACTTGGCTATGCAAAGTTCCAACACTGTAACATTTTATATACTAAGTCTCGTGGAGACAACTGTTACGCTACAACAAAAAATCTTCTACACCACAGATGTACTCAAGCCCAAGGTGACAACGGCCATAATTGTCAATGATATCACAACGCCGAGCAGTAGTGATGTTTCGCCAGAAAATACACCGGCTGCTGGCAACAAAACACTACCAACGGTCGCTCCAACATTACCAATGCCCCTGCTAACGCCAGTCCAGCTGGAATTCATCGATGAGAATAGTGTGCGTAAAACGCAAGATTCCGTGCTGAGTATAAAATGTGAGTCAGAATTCAAATTCCAGGGACGTTTCTATACCCTAAATCGAATGCCTTTGACAAAAATCTATCGCGGTGAAAATTTTCTCTTTCGTGCCGGACTTGAAGTTCAAAGTGATGTCGATTTGGATATTTTGGAAACCTATTTCATATGTGTAAGTGCCCAAGCCCTACATTTTGTATAGGCCATAAATAATCCGAGTTTATCTCTACCCCCCATTAAGGATCATAACCTAGTGCAATCAACGTATAGTTTTAAAAGGAAAAAGTTCACCAATACCTATCGGCGCGGTGAGAAACTAGAAGATGTTATAGTCTTACGTACCAATGACAACACCGACGAATGGTTATCTATTAGGGATTATGAACGCAGCAAAACGAATGAGCTGCATAAGTCTAACATATTTCATCGTCTAAGAAGTTCCCGGAAACACGCGAATCTGACGGATGCAACAGCAATTCCAAACGCTGCTGCCAATGCAGCATTGACCAAAAGCTTAATGGGTAAATTGGCAAACAATATGACAATAATCAATAACACTGCCTCGGCCAATGCTGCCCTCATGATGACTAGCCAAAATTCAAATATGAGCTCCTCAACCATATCGGACGATGGCAAAATGATAGCAACAACGACGACAATTGCTGGAAATGTAAATGCTACCAACAACGTGGATGAGGTGAATCAGGCGGCGCAGGCGCCCAACAAACAATCCCAAAATTCACGTTTAATTTACAACAAAACCCTTGATGCCATCCATGCGACTGGGCATCTGAGGGGATTCCTGAAGGGATCAGTATTAACAAGTACACCGCAGCAGGCACAGCAGCAACAAATACTTTTTGGTTTCTATTGTGTCAAGTGGCGACGCAGCAGTAGTAAAGAGGAAAACGAGTCGAAATTTGTTATTATGGGTTTACCGATTGTGGAACCTCCACTCAATGTCTACTGTTCCATGGAAGAGAAGATGTTCGTAAAAATGCCCATAACCTTTAAAGTGGTATTGAAAAATCCAACATCGAAAGTTATTCATCTGATAGCGTCATTAAGCATAAGTCTGTCGGATAATTTCATATGCTCCGGCCATAAACAGGTATGTAAATTTCGATCAAATTGAAAATTCTCTCGAGTCTGTCTAAAATCGTATTCACTCGGTCGACGTTTTTCACCACGAATTTAAAAAAAAACTTTAATATGAATATTAGTTCTAATGGACACGTTTAAAAATTGGTGGAAGGGAAAGTGAGTTTTTAGGAGAGAGAGAGAGAGAGAGAGAGAGGATGAGCTCATCTCAATTAATTCACTTCTTTTGGGTAAAAGTCAAATTTCTTTTCCATAAACTTTCCCCTCTATTGGCAGACCTTGTCTGTCCATTTCAAAACAAACTCGATATCTCAACCTAAGATACCAACAGTGACCTGAATACCAAATTTCAGCAATGTAGTTTCCCCCATTACAAAATTTAGTACAATTATAGAATGCATTTCCAAAACCATATCCATATCTTAACCGCATTTTTAAAACAAACTCCATATCTTAACCTCAGATACCAACAGTGACCTTAATATCAAATTTCAGAATTTGAGATCTGTGATTTCCTCCATTAGAAAATTTAGTACAATTATAGCACGCATTCCCAAAACCACCGCCATATCTTAACCTCAGGCTCCAACAGTGACATCTATATCAAATTTTAGGGTTTCAGTTATATTCCGTCACACAACATCAAATTTAGTACTCCTTAGTACTTTTCGTACAATTGTAGTACACATTTCCAAAACTACCTTCATATACCAATTCCAGATACCAACAGAGACCTCAATATCAAATTTGAGCACTATCCTCCACCCAATACCAAATTTAGTACCATTTAGTATTTTTTGTATTAATGTAGTGCACATTCTAAAACTTCCTTCATATCTTAACCATACACACCAACAGTGATATATATATATATATATATATATATATATATATATATATAAAATTTTAGAATTTGTATCACCTACTACCAAATATAGTATCATTTAGAACTTTATGTACAATTATAGTAAGTCACTTTCATAAACAGCGAGCTCAATACCACATTTCAGATTTCAAACACTATACAGGGTGGGATGAAAAAACTGCAACCAACTTCAGACTGCAGACATTTCTAACCACTCGTCGGACAGCTATTAAATTATACCTGTGACAGCTCATATTGTTTACAAGCGTACAAAAGCATTTTGGTGAGAATTTTCCAGAAAAAAGGTTTTATCATTATGGTATGCAAGCGTGATAGTGTGATTTCTTTATATTTGACTGGAAAATCACAAGTGTCTATCGCTAGAGCACTCCGGCATTTCAATGTGAATAAATCTTTTGTGTCTCGTACCATCGCTCGTTACCGTGATACTGGTAGCGTAGCTCGACGTTAAGGAAGTACACGGAACCATCAGCAGAAATAGTTCGATAAGTAAAGAAGCGACTTGACCGGGTAAAGCCATTGAAATTCCAAAAAGTGCAAGAACTTACACCGCAAGGGAAAGAAAATAGACTCAAAAAAACTAAAGAGTTGCTTCGCTTGGCCGAAAGTGGTGAACTGCCGAATTTGGTTTTCTCTGATTAGAAAACATTCGTTGTCCAGCAGTTTGTAAACAAACAAAATGATCGTGTTTACTTGCCAAAGAGGTCAGCTGAAAATGTGCACCTTCGGTTGGCCACCAGAACTCAAGCGCCGGCCATGGTGATGGTGTGGGCCGCCATAACAGCCGATGGTCGCTCTCCGCTCGTATTAATCGACAGTGGCGTCAGAATTAATGCCGAATATTATCGCGAAAATAGTCTGGAGGGTGTTTTAAAACTTTGGACATTCCAACAGGACTCAGCACCATCGCACTCAGCACGCGCCATGGATGGTTACAAAATGAGGTTTCTCGCTTCATTTTCAGCGCACATTGGCCACCAAAATCTCCGGATACCAATCCGTTGGACTATTGTGTCTTGAGTATTTTGGAAAGCAAGGTTTGCACTAAAAAATGCCAAAGTGTCGATCACCTCAAGCAAGCGCTTCGACGGAAATGGGCCAAAATACATACATACAACATTCGGGCAGCGCGTGAAGGTTTCATTGGCCGTTTGAAGGCCATAATTCGTGCCAAAGGTGACCAATTCGAACAAATCTAAACTTATTCTAAAATTTGATGCTTTTTCCGAAATTTTTGTTTTCATTCAATAAAATTAAAAAATTATGGCGTTTGAGTTTGTTGCAGTTTTTTTTTTATCTCACCCTGTATATGTATTGTGGGGTCTAAAATGTATATTTCGAGGTGTTACAAACTTAATATACCCTCCATACTATGGTGGAGGGTATAAAAATAGAAAAATAAACAAAAAAAATTGTGACGAACGATAGGTTTGTCTGGTAACTTTTCCTACGGGAATTGTATAGCAAGTTCTTTCTGAGAGAGATAAATAGTTCTCGGGTCATGAGTTTTATTCTCTTACTGAAAAAACAAACAGACACAACCCTGTAAAATATCTGCAGGCAATCAATTTATCAAAACGAAACCATTTGCCAGCCATAAAAAGAAACAAAACTTACAAAACTTTGTGTATTAATAGAGAATAAAAATGAGCCAAAAAGTGGGAAAGGTTCTTATATACTCGACCCTGTTCGATTATTGTCATTTTTATTTATTTTCCGAACTATTTGTGCTATTTTCAAAATCATCCACTTCTTCTCAATGAAAGAGACATGGAACACTTAAAAATGGTAGCCTTCCTCATCAGATTGTTCATTATATATTAATAAATATTAATATTGTTATTATTATATTTATAATTACTATTATTATTATTATTTTTTCGCAGCTGGATATTTCAATTTTTGCCTTCGGTGAAAAAGAACTTGTCTACAATCTGTATCCTTTGCAAGTTGGCTGGCAAAATTTACCTGAACTTACTTTAGTCTATAATACGCAGGCTGATCCAACAAAGGATGAGGCGCAAAATAATTTACTCAGTGAACTGGTACAACGATCTATACTGAAGAAAGTATTCGTTTTGGTAAGTCCTTAATACCACCCCTTAAAGCCATGCCCTTTTATTTACAATAGCCAATTTTCATTCTTTCACCTTAGCCACCACTTAAGCAGCAAATAAGCAAATGAGATGTTTTCCATCAAAGGAAAAGACGAGAATTCCTGAAAGTTGTATACTAAGCTAAAAAAACACACACACACACCCATTCTTCGTGCAGAAGAATTATTTTGTAGAAACTACAGATTGTGTAATCTTTATTTATTATTATTATTTTTTTTAATATTTTAACCTAATTTAAAGTTGAACTTACTTTCTTAACTCACAAACTTTAAATTTAGCATAGGTATTTTGTGTTTTTTAATTAGAAAATCTAAATAATATAAAAATTAATAAATATAATATTGTTTGTTTAATGAGTAGAAAGTTATGAAAAAAGAAAATATTAGTCATTAAAGGTCAACAAAATATATACATATATTAATAATGAGTGTTTTGTTGCGTTCCATGGGGGGTTAAAAGCTGTTGTTTGACAGTGTTGGGTATAAAAAAAATATAAAAAATTGTTCAATTTTACCAGGTTGGAAATAGTTCGCTGACATTGCTTGGGCCGGCTAGGGAAAGAGAGCGACGAAACGATTTCTATATTTACACTATGTGACACGAATATTAATAACTAAATTCTGACACAACAACATGACAGAAGATCAAAAAATGGAAGGTGCGTTTCTCACCATTTTTACTAACTCACCAACTTTTACTGCTTTGACAAAGTCATAGCTTCAAGAACCCTTCTTAAAAAGTTGTGTATTAAGATCCTAGGTATATTTTCGTCGTTAGTAATTTGTGAAACATGTTGACGGTTTCGTATCTATAGATTAAAACCCGATCAAAATGTGGGTAACCTTCTATTGCGATCATGGTTAACCATGCCATGATTATAGTTAATAGAAATTATGGACATTTAGTCTTTGTTGTTGTGGCAGTGGTACTTGTATGTGTGTTGCTTCTGCTAATCTGGTTCAAGCTCCGTGATCTTCTGGAGTGAGTTGGGTAGGTTTGTGTCTAGGCAGCTGGCGTTCTTCAGCTGCAATATATCGAGGGTGGACTCTGACGACGGCATTCATTATATAACTGCTAATATCATCCGCGACTCAGACCTGCCTGATATGCATCTTGGTCTAGAGGTTCTTGTTTATATTGTTGGACCTCCCTCTCTAGATCGTGTATGTCCTTCCTGACACGTCTGGGTGGGGGAATAGTATCCACAATATGATGGTTGGGATGACTCTCGCGGTAACACCCAAGCAGGTACTGCAACGAAAGCGTATGATTATGCTGACGTAAAGGAAGGACTTTCGCCTCCTCGTGTAGATGGATGGACATTTAGTTGGAGGGATCTGAAGGGGGTATAATTCTTAAGAAACTCCAGCACGTTATCCACATGTTGTAATGTAGAAGCCATCAACCACTTTCGGGAGAACAAAACTCAGTTCCAAAAGAAATGAAACTTGTTCTTTCACACAGCAAAATGCGGCAATATAGAGGCATCTCTTTGCTCCGCTTGAAAAGGACACGTTTCACTGACACGTTATATCATAATCGATAAGTAGTCCCTTAGCCATTTGTGACTGGGTTTCATAATATTGAGACAACCTCTAAAAATTTCCCCCCAACATTGCCTGTTATATGCTATCAGACCCAAGGGACCTGAAGGGTTAAATGTTTTGATCGACAATATAAGTTTGGGATAACTTATCATCCTTCTTATGCGCCTCTCATTCTTCTCTGTTTGGTGTGGGGTAGATGCTAGTGATTGCTCTCTACCATCTCGCTATACATTGCCTATAGGTTTCGAGTCCTTAAACAGTATTATACGAAATCAGGTAGAATTCAGCGACACCTCAATTTTGCAAATACATTCTATTCTCCTTATGTCTCGAACGCCCCTATCCTTGCTCCGTCTGTTTTGTTCCATATCCGCAGAAATTTGGCGCGAATTATCTGTTATTGTCTAGAAACACTATCGTTTATCAAGTCCAGTGTCAGAGCATTGTCACCTGCGAAATCTCCTGTCAGTTCCGTCCTATTTGCTGTAGCAGAGGATTTTGATCCGTTTCCCGAGACAGATCTAAGGGACATATGAGTAGGAATAGCGTCCACGTCATCCTCAGTCAAACAAAATCAGTCCAATCAAGAATATCCGCGCGCCATTCTATTTCCAAGGAAAGCATTAATTTTGAGAGATACTATTTCTTATTTACTTCCAAATTTGAAATGCATTTGTTAAGCCAAATAAAATTCATAATTAATATTAAATTATATATATGTTTGGATATTGTCAAGTCTGTGGAGCAGCAAAAAAATTTAAAGGTACGATCCTGAACGTCCAATTTCACCAATGTTGTTGACAAGGTTTTTGCTGAAAATATTTCAATTTCTTTAAAAAAACCGTCGTGAGATTTTTCTGAAGGAAAATACAATCTTGGGAGAATTTGTGATACTTTTTTTCCCTCGGAATTTTTTCCGGGAAGATTTGTTTTATGATAGAAAAAAAAGAGAATAGAGAGAAATACCTCATGAAATTGTGCTATTTTAGGGATGCCGAAACATCATTCTAAGAAGTATAGGCACTGGGACATTTAAGCCAAGACTTGTTGTCTGTTTTTTTTTTAATTTGCAATTACCCAATATAAGGGCTTTCAACTATAAAAATGTTAGGTGTAGAGTAATACACGAAGGGATTCTACATTCGTAATAATTGTCCGACAACTTCACCAGATATTTGCATCTGTTTAGTCCTTTCCATGTTAACTCCCACTCCGCGTCGACTCACCATCTTAAACCTTGTTAAAGAATACACAGTTCGTTCATTTTTCAATTTATTAACATACATATGAAGACAATAACGTTTTCACTATAAGAAAACTAGATGCCTTTCCTTTTATTTTCTGGGAAAGTAAGCTCATCTAAGTTAATAAATAAATAGCAGAGAAATATGCATTTATAGCAAGCATATATAATTTTTAAATTTTGAAAAATAAAAAACACTAAATTATGCAATGTTTTAAACAAATTTGGGGGGGGGGAGGGGTACAACAAAGTGCAGGAATCGATAATAATACTTTATTTGCGTAATAATATTCCAAATTATCATTTATTGCTTGAAGTAAATTTAAAAACACCCTTGCGCTGGCTACGATTTTCACCCTGGAAATAGAAGAAAAAACGTATTATAAAACCAATACAATTTTTCATTTTCATATCCCACTCACCGCCAAACGATTGCCAAATAACATAACAGCCTTATCTTCTTCGGGTGGTGAAGAAAATTCACTTTGATTTGTCGTAGGCGGTCTTCGGTGTATTTGCAGTTTTTGCTTTATCGCCTGCGAGACAATAACTTTACGACTAACCGATTTCATGGCCATCAATAGATCCAACCATGTCCATGTTACATTATGATATTCCAGTGTGGGTATAACCAAAGAGAAATCGGTAATATCTTCTAGATTTTTCTCTTTGTTTCCCTTGTAGCTGACGCGCACCGGTACCTCGGGTATTTTGATATAAATAAACAATTTGTTTTTCTCAGCTCGCTCCTTCATCTTTTCCACATCGTCTTTTTCAATTTTCACATAAAACTCAGAATCTTTAGAGGATTTTTTCGACTTGCCTTGTTTTTTCGAAGATTTGGCCTGGACATTTGACGATGATGAGGAGCCGGAGGAGTTTTCTTCTAAATCATCTACAGCATCGGTTTCAGAAGCATCTCGATCGGGAAAGCAGAACTTTAACATTGTTGAATAGAATTTCTTCGTAATGGCTATGGTTATGGGGGCAACATTAATTTCAAAATGTTCCTTGACAGATATACCGCCCACCGGTGGCTTTTCACGACAGAATACACGCAGCACACGTTTATGAGTATCAACCGGCATGTCCTTTTGTATTTCGGTGGGCACCAAAACTTCTCGATAGATTTCCCGTGGTATTAGGTTATTCATGCGTATATTACCCAATTCGAGAAGATGTTCCACCGAATCATCACTTTTCGATTTTTTAGTGTATAAGAAACCACTTAGCACCAAATCTGCAATACCAATTTGACCATCAGTTTCGGTTAGACGCCACTGGGCCCTTTTAAAGCATATTTCATTGGCCCTGACAATATTAACCGTTTTGTCCGAGCGTACATTGGATATTTTGCTCAGTTGTGAAAGTTGAGTTTCCTTATAGCACAACAGCATACTATCCAATTCCTCACTCAATGTGTTTAGCTCCTCCTTGCTGTCACGGATGAGTCTTTGCACACGTTCGTATTCTAGTTTCCATTCCTCAGTGTCACTTTCATCGGCCCGCTGACTTATGAAATGTATATCCTTTTCCAGCGAACGTATCTTCATTAAAAGGCTACGTATGAGTGTTTGCTTCTGTTGTATGGGCCGCTTTTGATCTTCGGTGGAATGTAATTGCAATTGAAAACGCATGCGAGCCAACTTTTCTAAAGCCTGCTTTCTTTGCGGTTCAACGTAGAGTAGCAAATTGTTGACAATATCCAATATCATGGCATATTGCAGGGAGTTCGTGCAAACATCCAAATCGTGATGCATCAGAGTGAAAGCATCCATGGGATCGTCTTGTCTCTCCCAGGGGGATAATGTTTCCTCCGATGGTGGTGGAGGCATATCAGTTATGGCATTTGGATCCACAGTATCACCATAGCTGACATAGAAAAACTCACATTTACATCTAGAGACAATGCGTTGCAATTGGATCGGTTGACTTCCACCGGAATTTTCACTCGATGAAGCACCCACTGTTTCACTAACCACACCACCAACACTACGTCCACTTCCAACCAAATGGGGAATATCAGGCAAATCGTTTATGACGGCATCACCCTTGTCCTGAATATTATCAACTGTCAGCCACATGATTTCTTTTTCTAAAAGAGAATCATGTTCGCCGGCACTAACTGTGGCATAGTACTGCATGCATTCCAGCAAGCCCTTCCATGTGGTTTTTGATACCAATGAGCGATCACGCCAAACGGGACGATGTACTCGCTGTAGTATTTCCGCTTTAGCAGCACTAATAATAACATAACCCGATGTCTCGGAACCTTTTAGTAATACCTGAGAGTTTACCAACGATATCGACCAGTTCTCGTGAATGACATCGTGTGCAGAACATGCCTGCAGTCCCTGCAATTGCAGTTCTCGGGATTGCGAAGTTTGATCATCGCTATACACATTGAATTTGTGGTCTGCTTCGGCGATAAGTTGCTGCAACATTGCCGTTGCATGGCTTGCCGGTTGTGGTTTGTTGATTGTGGTATTTGTTGTTGTAACTGAAAATAATAGGTTAAAATGTTACGATATTGTGTACTGCGGTCTTATATCTTCTATAAAGCACTTACTTGGTAAAACTTCTGCTGACGAACCGGACAAGGTGCTGTCGCTGCGTTTGTTCTTCATGAGAGTAGAATTTCCCTCCTTCCTATAACTCTTGACGGCTTCCGTGGAGAGGTTATTTTTAAGCTTTTGAGATTTCATAAATGAATCGAACAAAGCAAAGGCCACATCACGATTGTTTTTCGTCCAAGCTCCCTTCAGATCATATACCACCAATTTGTGTGTTGGTGTACTCGATTTGGTTTTTGTCGACTCTTCATCATTGCTCGATTGTATAAGAGCCTCACGACCATAGGAGACACGTCCAACGCTGAGAAAATAGAAACGCACCGTAATACATTTGTCGGCATTGGTTATGTTCTCTGAGGAGCTATCAAATTTCTCAGGTTCAATACTCTTCAGCCAGATCTCGGCATCATTCAATTCACAATTCATGTACACCGTGGACCAATCGGCTCGTGGACGATGTATTAAGCCATCGTCTATGGGCGACAGAGATAAAAGGTATTCGGAACTAAACGATACACGACCACCATTCAATTGAAAACCTTTGTGGCGGGCATGAGACATCCAATAAAGTACTTGGAAACGATGTAAACTCATTTGTAAATTTGCCTTTTTGTAATGGCGACTAAGTTGCTTCTTGCGCGGCCGTACATTATCAAAGACCGGACCACGACGAGTTGGTCGGGTTACTCCCGAAAGTATGAGTTTTAAACTCTCAAACCATCTCAGTGTACTTCCATATAACACCAAACTGGGTATGTCATATTCTATCTCAACACCAGGCTTTGGTTTTGTCTCAAACGATATCCATATATTCAGACTTATCGAACGAAAAGCCCTGAAGGAGTCATGTACTTGATTACTCGAATATTCGGGCAATTTGTCAGGAGCACAAGGCATAACAGCATGATGATCATTGGGATTGGCCAAACAAATCCAATTCAATTTAAAGGTCAGCTTCAAATGTGGAAAATGCAGCAGCCGGCAATCGTCATAACGTGAAGCAGTTCTCACTGTTACATTTAATTCACCTCGGAACATTATTTTGGCATTTGTCCAAACGATGCCGGCATTATTCCATGTTAGTTCCATTTCCTCCGTGGTATTGTATGGATCCAACGAGGCATGCAGTAGAACAGTGAATTGTTTAACAATCATTGTCAAACGTCCATGGAAGAGTAAACGCATTTTATCCCAAAATGGCAGCGGCGGACTGGGGTCTTTGGAAGGTGCAGATATTTTCTCAAAGCTCAAATTACACTGGGCCATTACAGGCTCCCAACATGGGCCAAAGGCATAACTACAAAATTCCAAATCACAATTGAAGTCGTGATAGAATTTCAAGGCGGTCATGCTGCGTTGCACCACATCTGTTCCGAACGGCTCACCAACATCGATGTAGACATCACGTTTAGCCCGCTTCGAGGCAGCCTGTTCGGCACCACACAGAGTACCAAATAAGCTCATTGTTTTCACATAAAACATGGGCTGGGGAAAATCTCTTAACATAAACTTCCATTCTGAACAGCTCACATGTACATTACGACACCAAAGCGTTGTAAATTCAAGACCCTCCTCGGGCCAAGGACTTTCTGAATCAATTTCACGCATAATTCGTGTTACATTATCGGTTCCATGAATCGATGGATCAGCCATAGCCATAATCTCTACATCATTCATAATCCATGCCAACAGACGTGTACGCACCGGTCCACTTTCCCTTATCTTCTTCGATCGTTGAATATAGATTTCGGAATTTTTCTTCACCAATGTTGCATGCAGGCTCTCAATAGTTCCAGCCGGCACCAACAGGGTTTTCGAACAGATCTCTGCAATTTTCTTATCAAATAATGTTTTACGTTTAAGGCCCTCAAGGTATTCATCAACTAATAGAACATAGTTATCGCGAAGTTTGACTTCAAAAGGATCATCACTGATTTCCAATAAGAATTCTTTTATCTAAAAAAGAAATTATTACCAATTAGATAAACATGTATAAAATGTGAAACAAAAAATAGAAAAGAATAGAGAATCAACAATGATAACCTTGGCAGGATTCCACAATTCATTGTAAAGTATACTTTTGCTAAGTCGTCTTTTTATACATTGAATTTCAAACAAAAATTAAAAAGTATTTTGGTATTGTTTATTTTGCATGCTTATCGGAACATAATATTTACTTTCTTAACAAAACAAGTGACCTTGTGGAATTTAGCCTTACATTTTTAATTGACTCCCATTTAAGATTAAGTAGAGATTTATTAATTTAATAGTAATTACCTGTATCACCATGTCGCTAGGAAGTGGTGAACTGGCCGTAAAAGGTTTCTTTTTATAATTATGAACCAGTTTCAACCATTTAAAATGGGAAATAAATTGATTATTTACAGCATCATAAAAGTCATGGTCATATGGGAATATAGCCTGAAAAGAAATAAGAAATATTTTAGATAATTCGTAAATTTCATTGCAATAATAATAGTACAGCAACTCACCTTGAAACTCCCAATTGTTGTAACCCAAACTTTATTTGTTGGCAAAACAAAACCCTCACAGTTCAAACGTTCTTGTGTTAGCATTTCCAATTTCGCCAACGAATGTATATCGACATCTTTCACCGTAAATATATGTTCATCATCAATTTTAATGAATATATTTTCAGCTGATATAAAATTGCCTTCTTTGCGACTAAAGAATAGATTTTCCACAAACCATTGCATGGAGTGACGATCAGATAATTTGATTTCGAAAATGGTACTTCGTTCAGCTGACAGTTCGATAATCAATTCCTTGGAAGGACTATCCATTGTGGGTTGATTAGATGGGGTGAATGTTGGGGATTTGGCCTTTGCCGGCAAGGCCAGGGAAGCCTTTAAATCCTGCATATCCCGGGCCAGGGTGAGAATATGCATGTGTAAATTGGAATTCCAAATAGCTTCAATGCTGCCCGGAATATATACCGATAGCTTTGGTCTCTTCTGTTCTGGTGTCTCATACTCCAAACGTATTAGCTTACAATTTGCAAATATATCAGTGAAATCGGTAAGACACAGCGACGAAGCTGTCATGGAACGCATTATTGCCATTTGGAATTCTTCCAGTTTTAGGTGGGTTAACTGATGAGTTCGTGCCAAGGCAATTTCGGAAAAGCTTAACAGTAAACAAGCTTTGTGATGATTTATAAAATATGCTGTAATATCTTTTATTTTTGCTGAAATCAATAAAGCATTGGAGGCGTTTTGTTGTTGCTTTGCATTTGATTTAGTTTTTACATTTCCTTCGGCTTTGAGACCACCATATTGTTTAATGCAACAAACTGTTTTTATGACAAATGTTGCCAATGTCATGCTGTACTCTGTCCTCAGTGTGTGTATTGATACTTCCAATTTGGTGGCATTGGAATAAGAACTTAGTTTTACTAAACTAACACCTATGAAGAATGGTGAACCCGGAGAATGTGACTTCTTCAAATTGTTGGTATCATTTATGGAATTTCCCAGGGACCACCACAGCGATTCTATCATTAGTTCTACGCTCCAATGACGCTGATTAAACAACATATTGAATATTTTGGTTTTATAAAAGGAACTTCTTTTCTCGTCGGTTTGTTCCAGCACCAAACGTGTATGACTGACACTCATGCCGGCATGTTCGTCATCATCCAGCTTCATTAACATTGAAACATTCCACAGTTCCGCACAACCTTTTACCACAATGTGTTTCATAACCCATTCTAGTAGACCATTTCTGGGACCATTGTCGCCAATCGCTGATATTTTTGTATTGCCTGGACATTGCCATGTATGCGGTAAGGAACCCAAATTATCTGGTAATGATTTCTGTTGCAACAGCATGGGTTGCTGCTGTTGTTGTTGCCGTTTTCGCGCTAAAAAGTTGTTGTGTACCCAATCATAGATCTCACAATGATTGTATATGATTTGGAAGGTTTTCAGTTTCACATATAAATTCAGAATATCATTTTTAAGCTACAATTAAAAAATATTATTCTTAGGTCTTTGGACTTACGCAGTTGACTCACCATGGAATCTATAGTAAATTGTTCTATGAAAAGTAATTTTTCATATTTCGTATCGATATCTAAATGTTGCAGTGTTACTTTGGTAAATAAGGTGGGTAAATGGACGTCTTCATTAAATGATTTTGAATTAAATTCACCGGTTATCTGAAAAATAAATTAAATACCAAGATATTATCAAAATCTTTTCATGGAAGGTCATTGTGAGGCTCTTCCTCTTAATACTCACGCTAAACAATTGCATTTTTGCACTGAAATCATTTTGTGAATTCTCCTTTACAGCCGAAAATGTAGCAGCTTTTATGATGAAACTAAAATTCTTTGGTATTATTGGTGCTATCTTATGATAGGATTCGTTGTTATAACTTGATTCATTTGCAGTGTGTTGAGGAATATGTTGCTCGGGGGTAATATATTCATCCACTTTTGCAGTTGTTGTGGGGAAATTACTTGCGCTGTCTTTGGTAAAACTATGTGAGGTTCGTTTTTTGGCTTCACTCAGGAATTCATACAATCCGCCATGTATTGTAGACTTGGCATTGTTCATAGCTAAAGACAGTTTCTGCAAAAATACATGGTTTTTAGAAATAATTAAATTGGCTTAAATTAAACATATTTACATCGACAGAAAGTTGACCGTGTGATAGTATGGTGGCATCCAAAGATATATCGAAACTTAGCTCACCCAAACAGGGCCGTATTTTATTTACATTCTCCAAAGATTGTCTGCGAGTTGGACAATGCCTGAGCATTTTCGCCTGCAAATATAAAAAGAAATTAAAACACGGCAATCTAATGACGACTAATGTTTCCCTCTTACCTGTGCTTCATTTAATACTGCATTAATTAGCAGAATTTTGGCATTTTGAACGATGCTTCCGTCCAAATGTAGCTCTTTGGCTGTGGCATGTATAAACCAGCCCGGGTCAAAATCATTATTCATTAGCACCACAGATATGTTATTGATATGAACGGCCATGAATTGAGCACAAGTTAATATACTTGGCGGAACTTTGGCATGTCTAAAATCTGGCACTCCCTTCCCTCCTCCAATGTCTCGTCGGAAGTTGGATTTCCGTGACGTTTCCTGAGCCGGGCCATCATGTTTTGCCGTTTGTATATCCTTGTTGATACGAATATCTCGGATATATATGGAGACAAGTTTAGTTACTTCAGTATTGAAGAAACTACTTCGTAAGCAAATTTCCTCGATTTGCTAAAACAAAACGAAATAAATAGGTAATAAGGTTTTTTTAAGAACTGCAGTTCGCTGTTATAATTTGCCAGAAATGTCAAATATCAGTTGTATCCTATGGGTTATTTGCTTTAATCCATGTAATAAGTCATTTTCTATTATTATTGTCTTTAAACCCATAGAAAACTCCCATGGTTATTTTCGGAATTTTCTTGTAATGCTCCAATTAATGTTGTTAATTTATCGAAACACGTCATCGTGCGTACATCCAAGTCTAATTAGTTTTATCTCAATTTTTTAGGTAAACTTACAACGGAAAATCCACTTTTGCTGACGTGAACATTTTTCAAAGCCAAATAGGGTAGATGTATACGACCAATACGGACTTTAACTCGAAACTTTTTAACCAAAATCCAACTTATAAAGGCAGGCAATATCCTGAAAGAAGAAATAACATTATGGAATTACTCATCATATTCCACCGAGGAAATATTTTTCAAATACATACCAATATGTAAAAGCAAACAGGAAACATGAGAATATAAACAATTTCAGCATCATTTTATCAGAATTTGGAAAAAACCAAAAAAATAAACAATTCCAATAACATTTTTTCAAGAATCAGTTGTGGTAAATCAAAACGAAAGACGTACCCAACAAAACGAATATGAACGTCAAAATAGAATACCCGATAAAAAAAAATAAACAGAAAGCACAAAATCTCGGGGTACTATGTTGTTTACGAATGAGGGTAATGCATAAGGAATAGGCAATCAGACTGAACACATTCCTTAAATGAGCTGCGGGACTAGCTTATCATTCACAATAACGAATAAAATTATCGATGTTATTAACTTGCGATTTAAATTTTAATCGGTTATGATAACAGAAATTACAATAGAAAGGAAATTATAGTATATTTACATCAGAACGTTTGACATCCAACATTATTTATAATTGGTCTGTCCAAAAATCTACAAGAATCCTTGGTACAATGATATCAAGGTAGGGCTATGATACCATATGATTTTAATTTTTTTTTTTATTTTCTTGGCTTAATATGTAATCTTTATTTGTTTATGTAGGTGTTTTCTTTTCAATAACAAAAAAATTGTTCAGAAAATATTCAAATTCGGGTGTTTTCAAAATGTTTATTTCAACGTATGGATCGACAAAATCTAGAGTTTTTGTAGCGAAATAATCCTTTAGAGATATATAGTACATGATTTTGAAAAGAAGTGCTGGCCTTCCATTCAGTTATCGCGTTTTTCAAATATTTATTCAAAATAAAAGCAACAAGTTGTTTGATATTTTATTGTTTTGATACTAATTCTGACATTACAAGCCAAACAGGTAGACCTCTATACTTGCAATTTTTTCAAAGTTGGCCTACCTTCTCTTCATTGTACCATGCAAGAATCTAATTGTTTTGTTGAGTAGAAAAACTTTTATATTCTTGCAGTTCTGGAACAGAACAAGAATGGTTGCACTGCATACAAAAATACCCACCTTTTTACCACAATCAAGTATTTTGTATGACTCACTCAATATCCCTTACACGTCAGGGATCAACTCTCGTTCTATGAAAAAGTGAAAAAAAACTAAAGGAATAATAAGTGCATAGAAGAGTACATGGTAGAGGAATATAGGTAGTCGCATCGACACAGCTGCTGGGAAAATGAACTATCAAACCAATTTTGGAATTGAAATTTTTGAATGAAAAATTATTCAAATTTGTAAAAATTATTAAAAAATGCATATCATAACAACCTTTGATTGGTGTCATATAGGAAAACATATACAAATCTACTTATTTTTGAAGAAACATGAACATTTTTTGACATATCAAAGCTCCTAAGCGTTGATACATCTACCTGTATTCTTCTACCATGGTAGAATCAAGAAGGTGAAGTCATTTCAAATAAGTATTGCCAGCTTGGCATCTCCTGTAATTTACCGTGTCAATTTTAACTCCATAGAATACGAATTCCCATCTCTGATTTGTGCATATACATTGGATTTATGTATAAGGCTGCAAATACATAAAAAGCTTGAAGTCATGGCTAGGCATATTAATGCCAAATTATAATGAAAAACGACGGCAGGATTTTAGTGCGGCTCTGTAATTCCTTTGTGAAATGTCACAAAATAGGCCGTGCCATGACTTCAAGCTTCTTATGTACTTAGCCCTTAAACATTTGAAACAATTCGAATGCATTACGTTTAATAAATCATCATAAAGAAGATTAACCCGCTAAAAATATCTAATATAAACATACTCTAAGCCCATTCAAGCTTGGTTGCTTGAAGAACATTTGAGACATATAAAATAGGCTGTGGATAGAGAACATATAGCGCGCCAATAGTTTTATACACAATTTTGTTAAAAAATTAAAAAAAATTGAAGAAAAAAATATTTTTTAATAAATTTTATTTATATTTATTCTTCTGCGCCAAAATTTCACCGCCGTCGTTAAAATAATCAGCCCGCCGCCACCAATTGGTTTACACCTGATGAGCCGCCGCCGCCGAAAAATCGTTCCGCTTCGTTGTCTGCTTGTGTGTAATGAATTGATTAAAGAAAATTTTCTGAAATTTCATTTTTTTCATTCCTAAAAGTATTCCGCAATATACAAACGCGAAAATGTTTGAAACGAGAATCAGCAAAGGATAAATTCTATAGATTTCGCGTTAGATGTAAAAAAAGAATAAATTAAAAGTGAAAATCTTCTGGTTTTGCTCTGAAGTCACGACGAAAGCGAGTGGCCTTAGTTGGTTTGGTTGCCACTAAGGTAAAAAAATTGTGTACGTTTATTCGGTATTGATGGTGGTGGCGGTGGTGGTAGTCGACCATCATCATCATCGCGAGCACTGCGATTCTGTTAACCCTATACCAAAGAGGAAAGTGTTTGTTTGAATGTAAAAAAACATTGTTTTACAAGCTGATATCAAAGTGAAAATCAAAGGATACCGAATTGGCAGTGTCTTGTTTAAAATAAAACACCAATATACAACAACTTCGCTCAAAAGATATAAAAACTAATTATATTGGTTGCAAAACGATTTTTCCAAGATTATTGTGCTTGCTACATCCAAGTTTCAACATACAGTAACAAAACATGATCATACAAGAGCCTGTACAGGTATATAGTTTTGATGACCTATACATGTGAAAAATCTATTAAATATTGCATTTTATTCCCAGGCTGCCATATGGCATTGTCTTAATCACTATGATCACAAGGATGCAGTATTTTTGGCTGAACGTTTATGCTCCGAAGGTTAGTAAAAAATATATGTTACTGTTAAAAATAAAGAATTTCTTGCAACGAATCTTCCTACCAGAAAGTCAATTATATCCTTTAGTGTGGGGTAATCTTTGATACATTGAAGTTTCAAGTACCAAATATCCCAATTTTTTGATGGGAAAATATTCGATGTGTAGATAATAAAGTAAACTAGTGTACCTTCTGCCTTTTTTCCACCTTAAGAGGTGGTTGCTTAATTTGACAATTTTAGAAAAATATATATATATTTAGCCTGGACTAAGAACGAACTGGATTCCACAATGTTATAGAAGTTGGTATCGATATTTGGAACTAATATTGTACTATCTGTATATTCAATACCCTTTGCCGATCGTGAATTGGGTCACTGATGTTTATCAAATTTTGCATTTCTCAATACTTCTAAAAATACAAGATCTACAACAAACGTGAGATGGCTATATAGTTCCGAATCTTCGACATTTCCCTCCACGAACGTTGAAAAATCGAAAAAAATCATAATAATAAAAAGCCCAGGATTTGGGCCGAAGCTCGCACATATAATTGTTACCGATTTTAGACAAAAAAAAACAAGTAAGCAAAGGCTATAGTCGTGCGGGGCCGACCATGTGATACCCTACAACACTACAATATATTAGGAGCCTCCTTATGTCCAAATCCATTTTGGAAAATTTCGCTTTTGAAATTAAGTCACGGAACACTGCCCAGATATTACCCTTAGCATTTTGACCAGGAATATTTGCCCAATATTTATGCACTTCATCGCGCTGTTAGTTTTTGTGGTCCATTTTACAGCTAAATATAATCCTATGGTCATCCAAAATGCTAGACTTCTTCCCTGTCTTTAACTCTCTTCTCAGGCGTGTTTATTGGGTTCAATTGTTTGATCAGGAATTTTTTTCTATTTTTGGTTCATTGAACCCCTAAATATTTCGCGATCATCTCCAAAAGTAAGCGTCCCCCTGTATCTTGTCTACGATATTAGGCTATATTCGTCAACGAAATCAGCATAAAGAAGCCAGTTCGCCTTTTGTGTACTTGGGATATCGCCTGTAAGTAATGTTGGTATTTTTTCACACAAAAATGGTGGTCTATTCTACCCGCTGTCCCGAATTCTAACTTCATGCGAGATTTCGTGTCCTTTGGTTTCTATTTGTGACCTTTATAAGGGCTGCAAAATCAGGAACATTTTTAGTTGTTGGTCCATTTCAACCCCTAAATATATTGCGGGCATCTTTGAAAACAATAGGCCTAGCCCTTCTGAGCCTTACCCTACCCTTGTGAAAATTTTCGTGAGGATCGAACGATAATTGCAATCTGTATATAATAACCCCAACCTGTGTTGTAAAGTGCAAAAATATTACAAAATATACACTTCAATATTATAAGTCAAATTAAAAAAATCGCATGCTATAAAAAATATGAAAAAATAAAAAATGTCACAAAATACTACAAAATCTATAGTTACATTGGTTCATCTTTTTATGCGATTTTTTCAGATTTTATACTTTTATGCCAAAATTGACTAAATTGACAAAATTTGTCAAAATCGCTCGAGCCATTCTGGAGATATAAGCATTCTAGCTAACATCCCCTTCCTTTGTATAAATATATTGCATACTTATATTTCGCTATATATACCCGATATTTTTACTATCGGCACGATTAGAATTGACCCATGCTAACTTTCGCTTCGATTGGTCTACAATTGTGACATGTAGAGCAACTGCAAAATCAGGATTTTTTTCAGTTTTTGGTCCATTTCAACTCCTAAATATTATGCGATCATCTTCATCGATCATCTCAATGAAATAGGGTTCTATTATGACCATAACCCCACCTACGTTTTAAATTTCGTAAAGATCGGGCCATAATTGCGACCTGTAGAGTGATTACAAATTAACATGGACTGACGGACAGGCGGACGGACATACATAGCTAGATCGACTCAGCTCTGCGAGATAGGAAGATCCATATATACTTTCCTATGTGGGAAACCAATATTTCGTGGTGTTACATAATTTTTGGCCCAATCAAACTTATAATACCCCCAACACAAAGTGTTGTAGGGTATAATAATATATATTTTTGCCTGGACTAAGAACCTCCTGGATTGCACAATGTTATAGAAGTTTGTACTGATATTTAAAGCGAATATGGTGCTATCTGTATACTCAATATCTTTTGCAGAGCGCAATTGGGTTAAGGTTTTTTATCAAACTTTGCAAATCCTATTGGGTTCAAAAAGGCAAGATATACAGCAATCGTAATATAATATAATAACCTATACAGTTCCACATCTTCGAAAGTTTCCTTCACGTACCGTATCGAATAATATCATAAATCATATAAGGCCAATTATTTGTACCGAACTTCGCATATCTTATTGTTATCGGGCGTAGCAAATATAAAGATGATTCAAAGGGTTCATTTATTGAAAAATAAATATATATAGAAATATGGCGAAAATTAAATTTAGTTTGGTCCAAACTATGGGCCCTGTACAATTTAATAAAAATTAAATGTTCACATAAATACTACTTTCCAGAGAATGGATCAATCAAAAATATAATAACTAAAACTCAGTGTTGTATGGTATACATAAAGTATAAAATGTTAATATTTTTACAGCTTTTTCGGGTTTCGGACCAATATATTTACGGTAAATATTGATTAGGAAAATTGGTTCGACGATCTTTATGCCTTGTAAATATAGATCACCAATTTTATGCCACAAAGTTTGACTCTAACAGAACATCATATTTCTGATGAATTACTTTTAATTTTTTCATTTATAATTATCTTTTTTCTTCTATTCTTATAATTTTTACATTTTTTTAAGATTAAGATTATATTTGCCGAAAATTCTCACCAAACGTTTCGCTTTTTTACCTTACTTTTCAGTGGAGACAGACGAAACCATTTTCATCTTAGCCACAAGTTATTACAGATCAAATCTCATACATCAAACGTATTGGCTGTTACGTGAAAAATCTCGTCGTTCTCCCCAATGTCGTTTCCTACAAGCAAAATGTGCATACCAACTAAAGAAATACTCCGAAGCTGAGTGTGCTCTAACCAGTAATGGCTTTGGTGACATGAAGAACAGCTTTGAGGACATTATCAAGGAGTTTGGCGAAATTGCATGCTTCGTCTTACAGTTGATCGCACAGATCTGTGTCAAAACGGAACGTAATAAAATCGCGGCAATGGCGTTACGAAAGGCCCTTAAACTGAATCCATTTATGTGGCAAGCATTTGCCGATCTATGCCAATTGGGCGAATATCCAGATGCCAATAGTATATTTCAAATACCCAACACAGATATTTTCAACACCTGCCAAGGCAATATCAATACCAGTTCGATGATTCTCTTTGGTGGTGGTGGTGGTGGAGCGGGAAATTTAAACGAATGTGGTAGTATGAACTATTCAAATTTTGGACCAGCAAATTCAACGGATGGAGGCTTTGTTAGCCAATTGTGTAATAGTTCAAATTATATACTCTCCACACCCGTAGAACAACAAATCCAGCCACCGACAAATAACAATGGCCTGGGCGCTTTGCAGAATCTGATCACACCAAATAATAACAACAACAATCTAAATAGTTCCATATCAATGCTTAGAGGTACCACGACAGGAATGAACGTTGGCAATGGCCTGAATCAAAATCTGCAGAATGCCAGTATGATGATGTTGGACGACACACCGGTTGGTTATACTGCAAATTCTGAGCAAACAGGCGGTTTAAACACACAAGGGGGCGATGGTGGTGGTGCTGGTACACCATTCCGCAAACAATTCAAATATCTGTCAGCTATGTCACCTACAACGCCCAGTTTCGGTGTATTGCCCATTAACAGTCCGTGCGGTGGGGATTCATCGTTTTTGGGTAGTTTCAGTGGTGCTGGTCACACACAATCAAATCTCAACATAACAAACTCACCCTTGCCCCAGACATTGGCCGAAGTGAACCAGGAACAGAAAGTTATAGGTAAAAAGATGAAGGGCCATGTTAGCAGTTTGATAAATCGCAAGGATACTTCATCGAACTCTGGAAGTGGCAGCAAACCAGCCGTGTTCACACAAACTGGAAACATAACACCACGAACTCCTAATAATACAGGAAACGCTTCCAGCGGTAAGTTGACATAGTTTTTAACTGACTTTCTTTAATTTGGCAAGATGACTAATTTATTATTCTTGCTCCTCCTTTTACAGGTACAAATATTCCTAACGCTGCAGTGAGGCGTAGTTCGCGTCTCTTTAGTCATAGTGGATATTCCGTAAAAGAGAACAACAAATCGCCAAATATATCGAACAAATTTGTGCAGCCTCGTTCACCGCCACGCAAAACTAAAACCCGCATGGGTAAAATTTGTCTAAACAATGAACTGATTGAAGACAAATCAAACAGCAATCAAAGTAATAACGAAAAGATTTCGGATAAAACTATGCGTAAAGACAAGGAAAAGGTTGAGACCATAACATCAGCGCAGTCAGCAACAAATCGCACCTCGGAGGACGTCAAAGTGCAACTGAACAATAGTCTTAATAATGCCCAAACAGTGGCCCATCATTTGCTATCGCTAAAGAAACAGTCAGCCGATGGTCTTATGGCACTGCTCAGAGACCTGGGCGAGGGCTATAAGCTTTTGGCTCATTTTCAATGTAAAGCCTGCATTAAGCACTTAGAGTCTACAATTCCAAAACATCACTTTTCCGCCAGTTGGGTGCAATCGCTAATTGGGATGTGCCACTATGAGTTGAGGGAGTATGAAAACGCCGTTGCGATATTTAAGCGTATACATGAGCAAGAACCCTACCGCTTGGACTACATGGAAATATATTCCTCCTCGTTGTGGCATCTCCAAAAAGAAGTTAGCCTATCTGCATTGGCCCAAGATTTAATAAATCAAAATAAAACTTCGCCCATAACCTGGTGTGTGGCTGGAAATTGTTTTTCGTTGCATAAAGAACACGAGACTGCAATTAAGTTCTTTAAGCGAGCCGTGCAAGTTGATCCCGAGTTTGTCTACAGCTACACACTGTTGGGTCATGAACTTGTTTTGACCGAGGAACTAGATAAGGCTATGGATTATTTCCGCGCCGCAGTTGTAAGAGACCCACGTCATTATAATGCCTGGTTCGGCATCGGCACGATATACTCGAAGCAGGAAAAATACGAACTGGCTGAGTTACATTACATCAAGGCCTTGAAAATCAATCCACAAAACTCAGTTATTCTTGTCCACATTGGAGCTATGCAATACTTTATGCAGAAGAAGGAACAGGCATTACAAACACTTAACACAGCTGCCACTCTAGATCCTAAGAATCCCTTGGCCCGTTTCCACCGAGGCTCCATTTACTTCTCATTGGGTCGACATCAAGAAGCCCTCAAAGAACTGGAAGAACTCAAAGAGATCGTACCCAAAGAGTCAGTGGTGTTCTATTTAATAGGAAAAATTCATAAAACATTAGGCAACGTAGACTCAGCTCTTATGCACTTTAGCTGGGCCACCGATTTAGATCCCAAGGGAGCCAACAATCAAATAAAGGATGCCTTTGACTCGATGTCGAATCCATGCTGCCCCTCCACCATGAACGAGCCCGGTTTAGATGCCGACCTAGAACCCATTTCGGAGCGTTCAGACGAATCGACGCAAGCTCAAGACGTCAACTATGATAGCGACTTTTAAGAAGCCACCAAACATCGTACATTTTCTAAAGCAACGACTGATCGAGCGAGGGCGTAATCCTGTTGGCTGAGTTGTGACGAAGTTGAATAGTGAAAAAATGCAACTTGTAATATTGTTTTCTTTATGCTTTCGTTTACTACCTTTTTTGTTGATTTTATTTTTAATGCTATTATGATTATATATATAGTTTATTCCCTGGGCCCCTTTTGTGTGTATTTTGAGCTATGTAAAACATTTATCAGTTAATTAAAACAATTTGTAATTTTCATTTCTTGCTATAACTATACCATAAACATTAATCACTTTAAACTAAATCAAATAAAATAAAAAGAAAAGAAATGCAATTGTAATATTTGGTAATCAATCTTTGACTGTCTATTGTCTACCGCATTATGTACGGCAATAAAAAAAAAATAATTAATAGTGTTGCGACTTCAAAGAAAGACATCATCTCACCATCATCAATGAAAATTGCTGACTATACACTTTATTTGCATATTTAAAAAAAAATACAAACGATTTAAATTTGAAGTAGTAGTTTTATTAAAACACAACAACAACAACAAACAAATTCACTGAAATATAAAACATACAAAAATAATAAAAAAAACATTAGCATGTAAAACCAAATCTAATGTTTTATCTAAAATAAAAGAAAAAGAAATGATTATGTTCTCAAAACTGTCTTTTTGATGGGCATTCCGTTGGGGAAAGTTGCAGACATGTCAGAGTCTCCTGTGTCTGAAATCTAAAAAACTAGTACTAGAAAATCGAACATTTCTATCAAATTTATAGAAAATCATAAATTCCATATTCTTCTCAGGTTTCTGGTTGAGAGACATATATTTAGATATAGAAAGTTGTAAAGAGTCGCTGAGTTGTTTCGCAATTTGTCAGATAAAAAATGTATTGAAAATTGTCACCCTTTGTGGGTGATGTACCAGATGCGGTTCGCAGATATATATCGTCTTCACAACAGAAAAACCGTGAACCCTATGTGGGGTAGCTAGCAAAAAAATGGTCCGATCTCTACCATCTTTATAACAGATCTTGGTGATGTAAAAAGATGAACCAAGTCTGGAATGGAATCGGATGTTGATTTCGATTTTAAGAGCTCCATGGATATTCAAAATGTTGACCCCTTGTGGGGGAGGTATAAGAAGGAGAGGACCGATATATTCCATCTTCACAACAGACTTTGGGTTAATAAAATTATTGGGATGTGTGACATTTGTAGACAATCGGACCCTTACATCACATTTTATAAGAGTTGTAATTATTCAAAATTTTGACTCTTTGTGGGAGAGGCACTTGATAGAGTTATCGATATTGTCCATTTTCGCACCTGACCTAGTAAGACGCAAATGTTTGTATTTGCAGAGTTAGAGCAGAATCGGATTATCGTTTCTCTTTCTGTGCAGAAAATATATTTTTTGGAAATTTCGAACTTTCGTGGGAGAGGTACCAGAAGGAGTGGACCGATATATTCCATCCGAACACTAGACCTTGGGTTAATAAAATTATTGTGACTTTTACATCATATTTTATAAGAGTTGTAATTATACAAAAATTTGACCCTTTGTGGGGGATGTACTTGATAGAGTGGATCGATTTTGTCCATTTTGCACCTGACCAGCACTGATGCAAATATTCGAAGTTTGACAAAAATATTACTATGTACCAAGTTTAGATCAAATCGGATACTCCCTTCGAGAGCAAAGGCTATAGTCGTGCGGGGTCATAGAGCCCTCCCCAGATGTTACCCTTACTTTTTAACCGGAGGTTTTTGTGCAAAATTTACGCCCCGTGGTGTTGATATGTATTCAAAACTATTTCTGAAGAAAGTTGTGGTACATTTTACAGCTAAATATAATCCAATGATCATTCATAATTTTAGACTTCCTCCCTGGCCTTAACGCTCACCTCGTGCAAAATTCCGTGTCGATTGGTTTTCAATTGTGGCCTGTAGAGCCAACAAAATCAGAAAATTTTGAATTTTTTTGATCCATTTGATGTACTATTACATCTTCAAAGTGAACAATACGATTTAATTCTGACCTTAATCCTACCCCATGCAAAATTTCGTGAGGATCGGACGATAATTGCGACCTGTAAATAATACCATCAACACATAGTGTTGCAGGGTGTAGAAAAACTTTAGAAAATGTATAAATTGAAATTATAAGTCATATTGAAAAATCGCTTGCGATAAAAAATATCACAACAAATCGATTCCTCGGTCGATTTTTCTTTTATCTCCTCAATCGTAACAAAATGCAATCTGGATTTGTCGTTAATGAGGTCCAAAGCTCCTGCTTAAATTTTAACAAACGTTTCTTGCTTAAAATATCTATAAAAGTGGCATATCATCAGCCCAACGTATGCTGCCTTGGTATCAGGGTAATTTTGTCGCAATTACGTTCAGGATCATTGATAAAGATGTGCGAAACCTCTACCCAGATTGTGATACAGGCCCGTACAATACAGGGTGAGATAAAAAAATGCAACAAAGTCAAACGCCATAGTTTTTTATTTATTTTTTTTTTTTAATTTTATTGAATGAAAGCAAAAAATGTCCGAAATAGCATCAAACTTTAGAATAAGTTTAGATTTGTTCGAATTGGTTACCTTTGGCACCAATTATGGACTTCAAACGGCCAATGAAACTGTCACATGCCCGAATGTTGCTCTGCGGTATTTTGGACCATTCCCAGCGAAGCGCTTGCTTGTGGTGATCGACGCTTTGGTATTTTTTAGTGCCAACCTTGCTTTCCAAAATACTTCAGACACAATAGTCCAACGGATTGGTATCCGGAGATTTTGGAGTTCTGTTGGCCAACCGAAGGTGCACATTTTCAGCTGACCTCTTTGGCAAGTAAACACCATAATTTTGTTTGTTTACAAACTGCTGGACAACGAATGTTTTCTCATCGAAGAAAACCAAATTCGGCCAAGCGAAGCAACTCTTTAGCCCTTTTGAGTCTATTTTCTCTCAATTGTGGTGTAAGTTCTTGCACTTTTTGGAATTTCAATGGCCTTACCCCGAGCTTATTTTTCAATATTTTCCGAATGGAATATTGCGATATGTTCAGCTCACGAGCCATTTTTCGGCCACTGCGACGCGGGTTTCGATCAAGCCGCTTCTTTACTTTTCGAACCATTTCTGCTGATGTTGCTGTTTCTTTCGTCCACTTTCATGACGTTGGGCTACGCTACCAGTATTACGGTAACGAGAGATTGTACGAGACACAAAATATTTTTTCACATTTAAATGCTGGGGTGCTCTAACCACTTGTGGTTTTCCAGCCAAATATAAAGAAATAACCCTATAACGCTTTAATTCCATCACGAATAACTTTTTTCTGGAAAATTCTCAGCAAAATGCTTTTGTGCGCTTATAAACAATGTAATGAGGTGTCAGTCGAATAATGTTAACAGCTGTATGTAGATCCTCAAAAGTAACTATGGGTCTATCTCGATTCCTTCTTCATGTTACAAAGACATAATACCTTGACCACTATGTGGTGTGGGGTATAAAAATAAACATCAACACAAAATAAGTGCAATACATAATATTTTATTTGTAATTAATACAATCAATTATTATTATTGTTATTACTTTTTAATATGTGCTTTTTTGTTTTGTTTTTTTTTTGTATAAAATGAAAACTATGCGCAATATTATGAAATATGAGAAAAGTAGAGGGAGATATACATAGAAAATGAGATATATTATATATTATTTTATAAACGTTATGTACAAATTTTATTTCTTCTTTCGCTTTTATGTGTGTGTGGGTTTTGGAGCTAGTTTACAATTAAATACTTAAGTTTATATATATTTTTTACATATGTTTGTATGTATATATCTCTCCCCTACATGCATTAAAATATACATATGTTTTTTTTTGTTTTGTTTTTGCACGCCGTACGTTAACATAATAGAATAATAATATCAAAACAACTCAATTTATTTTTAAATTTTATTACATCCTTTTTTCTTTTTGATGGTTCTTCAATTATATTATTATTATTTTAATAGATGCAATTGTACAATAATAGATTGAAAAGTAGATTTTCCTTATTGCTATTTTTCAAGTAATATTTACATGTCGTAAAGTATTTTTTTTATATGTATGTATATTAAATATACTAGGCTTGGCTTATAGAATGAATATTTTGTAAAAAATAATAATTTAAAAAAAAAACACATTGAAAACAAAATTTTGTCTAAATTTTTCCATGTTTTTTGTACGGGAAAACAAAAAGGAATAGATAGATAAAACACATAATGTAATAACATAAATTACAAAAATCTACGAAACAATATTAAGTTGATTGGTTGCTTGTATGTATATCTTTTGTTTGTTATTAACTTAAAAAAAGTTTGTATTTTTTTTCTTAATTTTTGCTATTTTTTATTTGTTTAAGTAGATGTTATTTAGTTGATTTTATTCTAAATATAAAATACATTTTTTTAATTACAGTTAAATATTGTTTTTGAAAATCCAAAAACAAAATGGTATTTTAATGTTATTTTTGTGTGTGTGTTTTTTTTTAGTTGAAACTTTTTGTATTTGTAGCGAACCTTTACATAGTTTTCGTCTTAAAATCTAAAAAAAAAACTTCTTAAAATGTATTTTGTTTTACTTAAAATTATGCTAAAAAAGTTTATTTCTGCTTACTTAAAAATGTTAACACTTAATTTTTAGCATTTACATCTAATTTAATATTTAAGCAATTGTTTTACAAATGGTTCCACATCTTCTTCATTTTTGCTTGTTTTGTTCTATGAGTTTTTTTGTTTGTTTTGTTTATTTACCTTATACTTTTTCTAATTTATAAAACTGTATTTTCCGCTTAATTGTACTAAACTCTTTCTTATTGGCTTAATTACTATGAAATAATTTAATATTTTTTAATATATATATATGCATACAATAATATTTGTAGATAATTGCATTATGAATATAATTGCAGAAATGAATTGTTGTTGTTGTGGTTTTTGTTGACAATCAATAATAATGATTATGGTTTTTCTTTGTAAGTTGTTCGGTAAATGATTTCTTTTTGCCCTACCATAAAGTTAAAGAATGTTTTTTTTTCAATTTGTTTTCAAATTATCCTCTTTTTGGATTTTTCTTATACTAAGAATTGTTCTTTTTTTCGTTTTATTTACAATATAAGATTTAGTTTGATGAGTATTTCAAATAAATGTATACAGAAAAAACATGATTCCAGAGGGGTTAAAAACGAGGGAATAGGAAACTCTGTATCTATCGAAAAAGAGAAATGGAATTGCTTAAATTTGTAAAATTATACTTAATTTAAATGTAATTGTAATGCAAACTAAAAGGATCATTGGTAAATCTTGAACTATTGCCATACACACTCGGATTTTTATGTTTAACTATGTCAGGGCAGTTATGTTTATTTGGGTGGTTTTTATTCAGAATATCTTTGAAGAATGAAGGGGGAGGGGGTGGGTTTTGTTTATGGATCGAAAATTGAACTAAGTTAAAATGTAATTTTAATGCAAACTATAAGGACCATTGGTAAATCTTGAACTATTCCCATCTATACTCGGATTTTTACGTTTAACAATGTCAGAGCAAATTATGTGTATTTGGGTAATTTTAATTCAGAATAATTTTAAAAAAATGAGGGGGGTTTGTTTCGGAATAAGAAACGTGGACAATGGGCAATATAATTATGTCATCCCTTTGACAATACACTATACACGACCGGCGGCAACATTTTCTCTTGAGGGGAAATTTTCACTTTCCCAAAATTGCCTTTAAACTGGCAGGAGCCCAAAAAGCAGTTCTAAAGGTGAGGGTACATAAGCAGCCTGAAGTCTTCGCATGACATATTTTGTGACACATCATAAAGGGATACCAGAGCAAAGACATGGAAATATAAAGATAGGACAAGATAGAATCAAAGTATGACAACCCTGTGAAAATGCCTCTGTTGTTATGATATCATAGCAACATAGTTACCAATGTTAACTGATTTAATGAAATAAATGAAATAAATGATTTATGAAATAAATTTTGGAAAGTTGCATGGAATAGAATTTTGAAACCACATTTTTGAAGTTTTTCAACTTTTATTTGTCATTCGTTTCGGCAATTATGGTTTTTGTTTTGACATGCCTCTGTCATGAGTCAAGCTGCTTATAATAATTAATTCAAACAGAGTAGAGAAAATTTAAAAATCGAGCGATATGTATGGGAACAGCTATAGCTATATCTCAGCTGGTTTTTACCAAATTTGATATACTTGTTTCTACTCTCAACTTTGGTCGTAAGTGTAAGTTACACGTTTGATGCACAATAAAAGGCAAATCGGACGAAAAGATATATATGGGAGTTATATCCAAATCTGAACCGATCTCGATAAAATTTAGCCAAGGTATTTCTGAGCTGTATTTGATATATTATCCCAAATATCGTTGTTACAGGGTGTATATTACGGCTGCGGAAGACAAAAATATCAAATCGGATGAATAAAATATATATGGGAGCTATAGCTATATCTGAGCAGATTTTGATCAAATTTGGCATACATATTTCCAAGCTTAATTTGGTGGTATATGCATAATTCCAGGCTATTTTGGCTGATATTACATGTTTGGTGCACAATAAAAGGCAAATCAGACGAAGAAATATATAGGAAGTTAATTTAAATTTTGACCGATTATGTCCAATTTCAATAGAGATTGTACTTGGGCCGAACCAACGACCGGTGCAAAATTTAATCTGGATCAGGCAATGAATGCGACCTGTACCTTGTTTACAAAAATACATGGACAGACGGACGGACATGCATAAATAGACTCAGAATGTGATTCTATGCAGATCATCAAAAAAAACTATGGGGGTCTATCTCGTTTCTTTTTGCCTGTTACAAACAAATATACAAAGACATAATTCCCTGACCACCCACCTTGTGGTGTAGGTTATAAAAATTAATAATGTAACAGAAATTATTAAAATACCGAATGCAGGTTTGTGGGGCCTATACAAAAACGTGGATGAATATAGCCCATTTTTAATACCAAAAGTCATGTAGAACGGAGAATACATCGCTAAATCGACATAGTTTCGAGATGGTACAAGCGGACACAAATTATTAAAATACCGAAAACAGTTATATGGGGCCTATACCAAAAACGTGGGTCAATGTAGCCCACTTTTCAATACCAAAAGTCACGTAGACCGAAAAATACATCTGAGTAAAATGTTATCAACCTATTTTGATTGGGATTTCCACAGACGGACAGACAGACATCGTTAAATTTACATAGTTTCGAGATGTTACAAACGGACACAAATTATTGAAATACCGAATACAGTTATATGGGGCCTATACCAAAACGTGGATCAATATAGCCCATTTTCAATACCAAAAGTGATGTAGACCAAAAAATACAATTGAGTAGAATATTATCAACCTACTTTGAATGTGATTTTCACAGACGGACAGAGAGACAGCGCTAAATCGACATAGTTTCGAGATGTTACAAACGGAATGGCAATAACCTCCACCATAGCATGACGGATATAAAAACATTAAAATATGGGAAAGGGATGCACTCTATGACAAAAACTTGCAAAAGGGAAACATTTAAATCATACACTTATTTGAAATACAACTGCTGCTATTTTTGTTAAATATTTTAATATTTCATTTCTAACTAACATTGCTTTTATCTGTACCTTTGTTTACATAAAAATATTTATATTACAATTCTCCAACGTATAACAAAAATTCTTCTTCTTCTTTACAATAGAACAAATAATTACTTTGTGATAAAAAAAAATAATACCCATTTTGGAAACATATTAAGGTATGTATGTTGGTGTGTGCGAGGAGGCCGCCTCTTCAATATTCGACATTGAGAGAAATCATGATTGGAAGTCAATTTTGGGATAATAAAAAGGAAAAAAAGGAAGCATTAATTTCACACAAATTTTGTTAAGGTTTCTATACTCGGTTTTTGGAAACACATGGGAACATATATATAAAGTTAAATATGCCATGTAATTTTATACTCGATCCAATAATCCAAATTCAATTTAAAAATATCCTTTACACACAAGATGGCGGAGACAGGAATCAAACACATTTTTTTGTTTCTAATTGAATACACATGCACACATTGTTTTTCTTTTCACTTTTCTTTCCTAATTTTTCTGAATATCACAGAAATTGAATCAATCTTTTTTGTATAGAGAGAAAAAAATATAAGGAGGAGAGTAGAAATTGAAACCATTCCTAGATTAAAAAAAGTGTAAAGTAAGACAGACAATAGGGAACAGAATAATAATAATAATGCACACAAAAAGTTAATAGACTTGAAATTCAAGTAAAAGCATGGAAAATAAATATGTAAATATAAATAAATATTATATATCATTACAATCATTTACAAGTCGTTCATGTCGTTCTTCCCTGCTTTTTTTGTGAGTACTACCACTACACTATATCCTTCTTGAGGGAGGGGCGTGGGGCTTAAGTAATCGCAGCTGTTAAATAGTAGAGATCCATCAGTGTCTGTACATTGATGGGCAAACATGATAGACGATCATGTGTATTCGAGTCTAGGGCCAACCATGACAATGCATTGTAACCTTCCAGTACATAACGCAGGACATCAGCTGTCAGTGTGGAATCCAGCGGATGGTCGGTAGCTGATGAATGGGCATTTGTGGAATTCAAAATATCATCGGTGGTCTGTATATTCGGTACGTGCAAATGTAAGGCGGTCTTCAAAAATACCGGACATACATCTTCCAGATGTGGACAGGCTGCCCAAAACCAGGCTGGCATTCGTCCAGTTGGTGCTGTTGAAACCATATAGCCAACCGCCAGAGGTTGTTGATTGATTGAACCCACCTGAAAAAAAAATAGTGATGAAAAATTATATGCTAAATAGTTACTAATATTTCAAAACAAGCAAAAAAACAAGTTAAAAAGCATCTGGAGATTTTGACGACACATGTATATCCTCAGCCAATGTCCGTTTATCTATATGCAAGGTGAGATGAAAAAACTGCAACCAACTTCAGACTGCTGCTGTAATTTCTAAGCCACTCGTCTGACAGTTGTAAATTTATTCCAGTGATAAAATTTGAAAAAAATGTAGAAATTATGGCGTTTGACTTTGTTGCAGTTTTTTTTATCTCACCCTGTAATATTACAATGTACCAAGTTTGGATCAAATCGGATACTCTATTTTTTTCTTTTTAAATTTTTTTACCCTTTGTGGGGGGTGTACAGAAGGAGCGGTCCGCTTTAACCCGCCTTCGCACAAGATTTTGTGTTGATAAAAATATAGGAATGTGCGAATTTTTTATGACAGTCATCATTAATCAAAGGCAGGGGGTACTCGATGGAGTGGGGTGATATTCTTCATTTTCGGAGGTTCAATTGATATTTATAAGGACAATAGAAATAACTTGACGTCACCTCGTTGACTTATTTTAATTTATAACTCACCTCTTCAATATCCTGATGCTGATTGGTGTTGAAATTATTACCGCCAACGCTTTGCCAACTTCGATTGTCTTCCATGCGGTCCGGACTGTTGTGGTTGGACATACCACGAGCTGTATTGAAAATAAATAAAAAAATGTATTAAAATTGTTCTTACACAATCAATATGTTATAAACTAATTACCTGTGCCACCGCCATCCCATTGTCCTAAAAGATCATCCATTAGGTCCGCATCCTTGAAAACATCATTTTCATCTTCATCGTTGCCAAAGTTGATAAAGTCCTCGTCAAGATCGACTTGAGGTTCGTTAGGAAACTGGCGGGTAAAGGACTGGAAAGAAAAGTAGGTTTTTTAGATAAAAAATCAAAAATATAACACAGGCAATGAGCATATATTATGCATATCAAGGGAAAATGAATGCGAAAGAAGAACACGATTTGTATATATGTTTTTTTTTTTTCAAAATTGTTCAATTGAATAACATTTTGAACACAACATAGCCAGCAATTGTATTTTCCTTTCCCATTCACTTTCACATACCATTTGTACATGTGTATGTATATTCAACACTTACCAAGCATACGGCACTTGTGGGAAACACCAAAATATGTGTACATGTTACATCCTGTGGTGTCGACAATGGATTTTGTATAGAAAATCGTTCGTCGGGTGTAAATTGGTCCGGCATAACACGTAATTTGGCATCTGGTTCCAGTGTTACCAAACAGGCACTCAGTATAGTAGGTGGATACATCAATTGACACTGTTTACACATATCTCGCAATTGTTTGGTGGCTTTTTGTAGATTTTGTTTGCCTAGCAGATATGACCAGGACTTCAACTCATTGTGGCCTATGCGTCCGATACGTCCCACAACCAGGCGCCATGTTTGCGTTGTCTGCGATATGAGACCGAGTATAAAGTCCATTAGTTTATTCAAACCAATACGACGTGCTGGAGCACGGCGGCGCTTTGTCCGATTGGGCACATCGATGTTGATACACACTTTCTCCAACATTTCACCACGATCATCTGTCACAGTGGCCAAGAGCCAAGACTGATCTTCACTGAGGCAATAGTTGCAGTACATTACGGAATATTTCTGTTCGTTGGGACTGCCGCGCATTCCGCCCCAAGCCGCTCTCGAGAAATCGGTCTTCTCGTTTTTCTCATGCATTGGGGCAAGAATATACGGAGGTGTATACATTTTATACGGTCTGCGGTTCTTTTCATCTTTGGTCTTGAGGAAAGCTTCAACGTTGGCAGCGGTTCCGAAACCAGTTAAACTTTTCACCGACTGGGCGTGAACCATATGACGCTTGCATTGCGAGAAGATGTTGAGAGCTAAGCATTTAATTTCATCTGATGTTCGTTTACGACTCCTTGATCTTCCAAGTTCTAGTATGGACTCCAGGGAGATTATTTGTATATTAATGTGAGCCTTTACAGAATCAGGTATCATTTTAAGTAGTTCTGAGTACATGCGCAGCAAAGCAATGCAAGCCAATCGCTCCAGTTCAGGAGAGTCGGAGCCGAAGGTAAATGGCTCCACCACATAAAGAACAATGGCCGAAGGATTGACTTCCTCCAAACAATCGGCAACTCCCAGCGGATCTCCAAGGACCAAAGGTGGTTTCACATCGGGCTTAAGGTCAGTTGGTTTTGCATCACCTGAGGAATTACCCTGCGAATCGCTGCTGCTGTTTGTTCCCGTCGCATGTTGAGAATGTTCATTGGTGTCCATGGGTTGTGAGTGGTCTGCGGCACCCGCTCCCTGACCAGTATTGTCCATGCCCCCGGTGGTATTGGAGTTATTAACTCCACCCATCATGAATGAGGAAGACGACGACGATGAGGAATTTGTGGACGACGATGTTGCCGTGCTATAGCCCTGACTACATCTTGCACTAGTTTCCGGTGGATTAAGTAAAGTCTTATCACCTGGTACCCTATTTAGATAAGGTGCCAGCTGGTGTTGAAAGGCATGTGCATATAAACGTAATTGTTCCGCCAATCGCGCATCATCTAAGCTCTTCAACCAATTGTCCATATTTGTGGAGAATGCCTTGTCGTTTGCGGGCCTTTGCTGCACTGCCAACAAACCATTCCAGCCGCAAATGGGAGTGTGACGACCCAGTTTACACATTTCGTAGATGGTACTCAGTTCCTTAAAATAGCTCTTTGTCTTGCTTAATACGTAATCGTTGTCCGGCGCCATCACCAGGTAAACCACATCGCGGGCATAGGAGTAGGGCTCCAGCAGAAATTTATCCCAATAGTGTATGGCTGGAGGCGCCACAGATATCCAATCCTTGTCGTGGCCGACAATGACCGAAGGTATGGGTTGTGGTTCACATTGTCCCGATGCTCGGCCAGCGAGACGATGAAACTGCCGCCACGTTAGGGGACCACTAACCGTATATGTGGCATCTCGGGATCCGGCGGTGCGAGACTTGACGTGGAATGCATTTTGTAACATGGGTTGAATGGATTTCATGGTGGAAACAATATCTTTATTGCTACGCGAAAAACCAACGGGTATATAAGGCCATTTATGTACATTGATGCGCCCTGTCAGAGCCAAAGCCACTTGTGTGTTATTAGAAGTTTTTCGATGTGATGAGAAGGGAATCATCTGTTGTTCCATTATGTCCATGCGATTGCTGCTGTCGTATGCTAGGCGGGCCTGCTCCAGAGCCAAGGCAATGATGTCGTTGGCATCTATGTATTCCAAAACATTAACAATCCCCGCAACGGATTGTGGCTTTTGGGAACGTTTCGAGAGTCGACGCCGATGACGCTGCAATGCACGGTGTATCGCACTGCTGGAAGTCTGAATAATCGAACACTGTTCGAGAAGCAAATCGAACAAGGAATACGCAACCTGTTCTGCGGTCTTGTCAACAATGCCATTGCTATTTGTGTTATTGTTGTTGCTGCTGTTGTTATTGGCTTTGGAGGATAGGTTGATTAATAAAGTAAGCAGGGAATGTTTTTTATGTCGCCCGGGATCCTCGGCTATACCGGTTATTTCCATTTCATCTTCGTAGAAGAGACCAGCCTTACAGGCGAGACGGCGGTTGATCACGGCGCTAAAGCCACAGGTGCACTCGACGGCATCATCATCGACATAGCCGGTGATATACTGTTGGGCATTATTGGCGGGTGTGGCTGTGGATGGTGTGGTCGATGAGCTGGAGCCAGCTCCAGCCAGTGATGCAGGAGAGTCTAATGAATTGGCTATGCCGGCGGCACTAACACTTCCTAGAATGCTGCCACCACCCGCAGTACTTCCTAGTGCCACCCCCATCGAACTACCACCACCACCAAAGGCACTTAGAGCACGCATTGCGTTGGCTGTTGACAGGGAGGGCGCTGTAGGATTAAACGATGTGCCCGGCAGCGGTACATATACCCCCGAATCCGAGCCTCGAATGTTTCCAATACGTTGGTTATCGGCATTACACACGCACACAGTACTGCTGTCAAAGTTATGGTCACGGAAAACATTCAGCGCCGTATCGTAGAGCAGTATATTCACAATGACCGAACTGACCTCGGGCAGCTCTTGAATAATGGAATTTATATTGTTTGCTGGTGCATAGAATCCCATGTTGGACGATTCGCGATTATTGCCCTGAACGCTGGGCGGGCCTCCTATTGTCTGTATATGGTTGGGGACAGATTGCGGAGTTTGCGGCGGCTCTTGCGAATGATATTGTTTATTGAGATATGCTGGAGTGGAAGAGGCTGTCGATAAGGCGGGACTGGCTACGGCAACTTCATACGGCGGCGGCGGATGTATGGGTGTTTGCCGATGCTGCTGCATCATGGGACTTGTGTGCGGGAAGGGTACATGCGTGGCAGGAGAAATTGGTGACATACCGGGTCGCTGCATTATGTGTTGCATGGTGAGTGGATTATTGGTGAGGGCCGCCTGTGGGCAATTTAGCTGATTCAGAAGTAGACTGCTGCTACCACCACCTCCGCTGCTCAACGGTGTTGGGACCGTTGTATTGTGCATGGGCGAAGAAGACATGGGTCCCAAAGGTGTACGCGGTTGCTGCTGTAGCGGGGTACGAGGAGCCGCCGATAGTAATTCATGCAACTGTTGATGTTGTTGTTGCTGTTGAAGTTGCTGCTGCTGCTGTTGTTGCATGTGTTGTTGCTGTTGTTGCTGCTGCTGCTGCTGTTGATGAGCACTACGCGGCTGCTGCCAAGAAGGTTTGTATCGACAATTGCTGGGCATACTCAAGGGGGCCATTGACTGACTGGGCAAATTTGTTAGCGGAGCATATTTTGATGATCCCACAAAGATGGCTTGGGCAGGGGGCCTATAGACATAAGTCCAATCTTCAATGGGCCCTTCAATGGGACTACCCAATTCACTGGAATATTCTTGTTTGACCTTTGTCATGGCGCTTATGCCCAGACCAGTATCCAATGTTTGGCCACCCATTATATTTGTCGAGGTCATGACATTCAAATCAGTCATTTGAATGTCCATTTGACATGGACTGGAGTTGGGATGATGCTGTTCATGCGATGGAGGAGTTGGAAACATTTTTGTCAGGTCTTCGGCTTGAATGGTATTAGGACCAACGCCCAAGCCACCAGGGCCACCTCCAGTCAAACTACCACCACTATTATTCAATGAAGCCATGCCCGATGTTGTGGCGTTCACCACACTATTGCAATTCTGCAACGCGGCCATGACAGCGGCACTATTCCCCTGAACATTGACAGCGCCAACCAGTCCGGAATTGGTGGATCTTTTGAGTTCATCAATGGTATTGGTGGTTACAGCACATCCGTTGGATGGGTTATTCGAATCGGGTGGTGTGTGTATCTGAACACTGCCACACTCGTCATTCGAAGATGTTTCGAATAATTGTTCCAAATCGTTTGGTGATGGATTCAGACCCTCCACTGTAAAAAGATTTCCGCCGATACCACTTTTGGAATCCTTGCTGGGCGATATAGATGAAGCACCCACTGCAGGCGGTACTTCAGTTTTGATATCAAGCTCTTCAAAAATGCTACCTCCACTGGCCGTTGTGGTGCTGTTCATCATGCCACCACCAGAATTCTCATTATTATTGATTTTATTGTTGGCCATGGGATTGGGGGCTATGCCAACGAGACCTGTTCCCACCATACCACAGTTACCAGCACCACCACTTCCCTCCATACCCGATGAACCTGTTCCTGCCGCCGCAGCTGCAGTTGGATCTATCGCTAACAATTGGTCTCCGTACAAAGAACGTGGTGATAGTAGTAGGGGTTTTATGTGCGTATGTCTTTCATACAGAGCTTTTGTGCGTGGAACACGGTTATGTTTCGAGATTTCGTTTGGTTTAAAACGTTTCGCCGGATGATTGGCCCTATAACAAACAAATGAAAAAAAAACATTATTGTATTTGTATGCATAATAGGAGCTGGATTATACATAGATATAAGCAATGTATGACTAGATGTTAAGACAATGCAATAGCATAATCACCATAATCTTCGGTATGATCAATTATTGCCCAAGTCATGGTATGGCTTTATCTTAGAGCCAAAGATAATAACAACACAAAACTTGCAGTTTATTATTCCTTAAAAGCTCTATTCCGTTTATTTATATATCTGCAGTGTACTTGGAACTTACCAGATATCTTGTGTGGGGAAATCGTAGAGATTCTCTAACTTCAGACAATCTTCATTGGCAATAGCATCGATGTCCTTTACACTAATCTTGGGTGGCTTGCACAAATTATAGAAATCATGCATTGCATTTGTGGCCGATGGCGCAGTGTTGTTACGACTAAAGTTGTTATTGGGTAATGCCGTCCTGCTATTTGGCATTGTTTTCACTGAGTCCGGTTTGTCATCTGTGGGGGCGCCGCCGCCAGCAACCGGATTAGAGGAATTATTATTGCCACCGGAACCTAACAATAATGGAGTGCCTGGTTGAACATCGAACTTTTTTACGGAAATTGAACCGCATTGTTGTTGCGCCTGTGTTGGCTGTGATGATTGGTGTTGCTGTTGTTGTTGGTGCAGGGTGGGAGTGCAGCGACCCACACTTGGTGGCTGGGCGCCTACACTTGCGGGACCCATACCGCCATTGCCACCTCCCAAGTTACCACAATGCATACCCTCAACAGAGGGTGGAGCCTCAACACTAGGAGTGGGATGGATATACGGTGATGCAGTTATACTTTTGTTGTCATGCTGATCGGTAGGCGTGGGTGCAGGAGTATTTTTATCCAATAAATGATCTATTGGTGTTGTTGGTTGCTGCAAATTCGGTACAGATGTTGGAGCGCGGGGACTCATCAGTAGCTAAAATAGAAGGATAACAACAATTAATGGCACTTCTAATAGATATTTAAGCTAATATATGAACTTACTTGATCTGCAGGCGGTACTGAGGTGGGTTGAGAAAGTGCTGAATTCGGATGTGGAGATGGAGCTGGAGTTCCTGGCGAACCCACCGATGGTATTTGCATGCAATCCATAATGGAATTTCGCGAATAACTTGAAATACCGCCTTGTAAGGGTGTACCATTTCCGGGCGTTTGTCCCGATAAGGATGTTGATGTCTGAGAAGATCTATAAAATAAAGGAGAGCATGTTAGACAACATAATAGAAAGTAACAAAAAAATAGGATCGTATAAGCCTTGTATCGTGGTGGTGGTTTCACAATATGATTACTAATTTTCGTGTTGACTACTTCGATAGAACGAGCACAAACGGAAGGTATAAACTTACTTTGTGCATATGCATGTTGATTTTTGTGTTGGATCAACAAAACCCCATATTTGTTGTTGCTGTGATTGAGATAGAGCCGTTGTGGTGGTGTTAAGATTTGGTTTAATGTCCATCATATTTGATGCATTGTCAGTTTGATCACCAGCATCGGTATTCATTGGTATGGTGGTACTGTTGTTGTCATTGCCACTACCCATCATGGTATTTAACGATGGTGACACGCTGCTGGTGTTGTTATTCGGATTGCTTGTAGAGGCCGATGTTGTTGTCCCCGAAGACGAGGTGGCGGTATTACAGATCGTGCCATTCTGTAAATGTAACGTATTTGTGACACAATCTTGCCAGACTCGTTCGGGCATTTCACATGCAGCTTGAGGCGGAGCATGAGTATTTGTCGTATTGCAGGTGAAATTTTGTGTCTGGGTGTCGTAGTATTGTTGAACTTTAGTGTGATCAATTTTAAGGCGCTCAATCATGTGCGCCAAGGATGATTTGGTGGTTGCAGCATTCGATGTGGGCGATGAAGACGATGTTGTCATTGCATTCGCCACCGAAGATGCAAGTTTGTTGTTGTTGGTGACAGATTCCGTTAAGGGTTTTCTTGTATCGTTGGTATGGCTGTTGGCCGATGATGATAGGGCTGCAATGGCGGCAGCAGCTTCGGCTGAGGATGTCGAACCTAGTGATGACTTTTGTGATGCAGCCGCTTCCATTTCTTCCATATCATCCAAATCAGTGACTAGTACATAAATGGAAGGATGATACATTTTATGTCCACCTATGAAGAATTAAAAGTGAAAAGTTAATCATTATACTAAGATGATTTGTTAACCACACTTACCAGCTATAACCTCCACAACGGGTGGGACTTCACTATTCTCTTTATTGCACAATGGGAAAAAGGAAGCCCAGTCTTCGAGAATTTTTTCTGCCATTGGATCATTATGCTTGTAACTATTACCCGTTAGGGTGGCTGCCATGCCAAAGGGTGCCAATATAACTTTTCGCGGCTTTGGAGTGCCGCCACTACCATTGGCATTATTAGAAGTTGTGGAGTTATTACCACTACCACTGCTGCTATTCCCTCCAGCAGCATTATTAGCTACGGCAGGGGAATTGCTACCTGCATTCTCTTTAGCCCCCACCTCGGTGGCACCATTAGGCGAATTTGGTGATGTTTGTTCTGGAGAATTGGCATTTGATGCGGCTGCATTAAAAGCTGCCGCCGCTTCAGCTAAATGTTCTTTGGTTAACGGACGAACTGCTGGATGTTCGCGCAAATCAATGGACGCACATACTGTATCGCCATGTACAAAGAATGTAAATGAGAATGATAAATGTTGCGAGCTGAAAGTGAATGCAAATAAAATGAGTGATTGTTTTGGAACAGGAAAATTTTATAATTTGCAAAAGCTTATTTGATTTTGTAACAAGGTGAACGATGATCTGATTTACTACTTCATAATCAAACCACAGAGATCTTGTCTTTTTTTTCTATAGGATGTCGCTTGTTCAAAACTCTAATCAAAAATTTCAAGAAAAAAGCATTAAAAGAACAACATCCATATAAAGGAGAGAGATAAAATTGGTCAAAGCAACATACCGAAATAGTATATTTTTTCCAAATTTCCATCTTTGTCTAACTTATTATACCACGTTCTTACGCTCACACTTGGATTTATGCACCTTGTTGACTGTCAATTGGGTCCCCAGATCTAAATCGCCTATTTAAACATTTGCATGGAGTAATCTTCGATCATTTAATTATATGACCGTAGTATAAATGATTTTTTGTACCCTCCTCCACACTAGTATGGAGGGTATATTAAGTTCGTAATTCCGTTTGAAACTCATCGAAATAATAATTTTAGATTTGACAAGGTTCTTGATCAGCGTAAAATTCTAAGACGATTAAGCCATGTCCGTCTGTACGTATGTTGTAATCACGCTCCAGTCAAAACGAATTAAGATAGGAAGCTAAAATTACCCCCTGGAAGAGCATTACCTATATAGATCGATCCACGATATCGTACATCCTCCATATAACGGTACCTCTCTATGGAGAAATATAGCCAAATTTTTCAATGGAATTGTCTTAAATTCTACACAAGGAGTTCTTTGTGGGTACTTTGCCTCCGGAAAGAGTAATGTCAATATCGGTCCTCCATATGGTATAAGCCCCATATAACGGTAACCTCCCGATATTCGATATTTTGATGATTTTAGCCACATTTTTCAATGGAATTTTCTGAAATTCTACACAAGGAGTCCTATGGGTACTTTAAGGAATTTTCTTCATCGGCCCACGTTACCGTATATACCGCCCGATATTCGGTATTTTGACGATTATAGCCAAAAATTTCAATAGAATTGCTTAAAAATCCAAGTCAGGAGTTTCTTCCGAGTAGTTTGCCCACTGGAAGAGAATTGTCTACGATATCGTATATCCTCCATATAATGGTACCTACCGATATTCGGTATTTTCATGACTTTAGCCACATTTTTCACTGGTATTGTCTGAAAATCCACACCAGGAGTTCCTTCTGAGTACTTCACCCCCAGGATTGTATATCCCCAAATATAACGGTACCTCTCGAAATTCGGTATTTTAATTATTATAGCGATATTTTTGACCAAAATTGTTTCAAATTTCGTATATAAAGTTTGAACTCGTAATAAGTACTACAACTTATGACGAAAAATTGTCTATGCAGGTCCATGTCTTCGTATAGCGGTATTTTGATTATATTAGCAACATTATTCACCGGAATTGTTTCAAATTTTATAATATTAGCCACATTATTATTAAATTTTGTATTTGAAGTTCGGAATCGGTACTACATTTAACGGTTTTCATTTATGTGGTATTTTTCGAACGTGTATTGTGGTTTTGTTTGCTAAATCCTTTTCGAAAATAATTTTTCCTCTACATCTGTGATGATGCACACACATAATGAAATGATAAGCACATTTTTCCATACATACATACCTCCTACAAAATATTCGTTCATTTGATGTACAAGGTTGAACAAACCACTTTCCAAAACGTACAATATCCTTGGTTAAGACAAATCTAAAAAGACAAAAAAAAAAAGAATATTAATTATTAAATAATTTTAAATAGTGGAAATGATAATGACATACCTTTCCATAAGATTGTGTAGAGCCTTAAAAAGTAATGAGCGACATTCATAGGTTAGACCTCGTTCCCATGTACCATTCCATAGCATTTGATTTCCTGTAAGCAAAAAAGAAGAAAAGTAGGTATAAAAAAATAACTCATTTTAAGTAGCATAAAAGAAACTTGAAAAAGATAGTTTCTAATTCGAAGGGAAGCAACCTGAGTTTTGTTGGCAAGAAAAACAAAATTTTTTTTCAGACCTATTTCCTAAAAATCATTTTTCTTCACGGCAAACTTCCCACGTGTACTTAGTTTATTATAAAAATGTTACATGTTGAACGATGGTTTCAATTTTATATTCACATTGATACCACAGAGAACATGTTGCATTAATATAGGATGATATGGTATTGCTTATCAAATTATAGCTTTGAATTTAATAGCAATGAATATTTATCATCCAAAATTATGTATTAGAAAAGAAATAGGACATATTTGTAAACCCAGCAAACAAAAAATTAAACTAGTTCAGAGTAAAGTAGCAATAAACAAGTAAAGAAAGGCCAAAGTCGGACTGGACCGAGTTTCACATAACAAATATAAGTTTTTATGGGGAATTTGTGAGAATTAAATCATACTATGATTATGGGTATAATTTAAAGTCCAAAAAAACTAAACTTGTCGAGGCATTTGTGTCTTTTCAATTAGGGCTTTTATTAACATGAAATCGAATAAAGATATATATGGGAGCTATATCCAAATCAGAACCGATCTCGATAAAATTTGGTAAAGGTATTTCTGAGCTGGTTTTAATATATTTCCCTGAATATCGTTGTTACGGAGTTCATATTACGGCTGTGGAGAACAAAAATAACAAATCGGATGAACAATATATATGGGAGCTATAGCAATATCTGAAACAATTTTCACTTCACAACTTGACATACTAGTTTCTTGACTCAATCTGGTCGTGTCAAACTACATCCAATTGGTGCTAATATTACACGTTTGGTGCACAATTAAATGTAAATCAAAAGAAGTTATATGAGGGAGTTATATCTAAATCTGAACCGATCTCGATTAAATTCGGGAAAGGTATTGCTGTGCAGTATTTGATAGATTTCCCCAAATATTGTTGTTACAGAGCGCATATTACGGCTGTGGAAGACAATATAGCTATATCTGAACCGATCAAATTTGGCATACATATTTCCAAGCTTAATTTGGTCGGATATGCAAAATTCCACGCTATTTTGGCTAATATTACACGTTTGGTGCACAATAAAAGGCAAATCAGACGAAGAAATATATGGGAGCTTAATCTAAATTTTGAGCGATTATGTTCAATTTCAATAGGAGTTGTTCTTGGGCCGAACAAACGATCGGTGCAAAATATCATCTCGATCGGGCAATAAATGCGACCTGTACTTTGTTTACAAAAATACATGGAAGCGATGTGCCAATATTGTCCATTTTCACACCTGATCTAGGACTGATAAAAAATATTGGGATTTACAAAGTTTGCACAAAATTGAATGATTCTTTCCTATTCTATGAGGTAATTTTTTTCTCTGTGAAAATGCCCATCTCCGAACTCGATCTAACGAAATCGGACACTTTCTTCGAGAGATATCATGCGCATCAGCATGGGTGTCCGCCTGACTCCTAGATCGACTTCAAATGTACTGAAACGAATTTGGTCCAAAGACATTTAAGCTTCAAGACAGTTATTCGTTTTTTGCCGTATCAAATTATATAAACCCTCAGTAGCCATCTGTCAATCAAGCTATAAATATGTTTAATTTTAATAGCATATACATTTCCGATTTTATCCCGATTTTTGGGATAAAGTGCCAATTATGTCGATATTTTTAGAATTGGCGATTTTTCTTCAAATTTTATTTATTTATTTTTTTTTTTTTTCATTTGCATATAAATTTCCGTTTTTATACCGATTTTTAGGATGCAAGTGTCGATTATGCCGACTTTTTCGAAAGTGACGATTTTTCTTGAAATTTTGTTGGCAGCCCTGCATCCCACTGTCATTGAGAATGCTAATTGCCCAAGCATTTTTTAATCTCTCTCTCACTATCTCTTCCTACCTCTCTCTCTTTATATATTTGCAAACGATGACGTTTTGCAGGAATTTTTGCTGCTATGTGAAAGTCATGAACAGTTGTTTGTTGGTAGATAGGCAGGGGCACGTAATAATTATTTATTTTGAGTGTTTTTCTTTAATTTCTCATTACTCCGAGTGGAATTTAATCAATTATGCCCACGGTAACGAGGGAATATTTATACGGACATAATCATTTCTCAAAGAAAAATTATCAAGGCGATAAAAAAATCGCCTGAACGTTTAGTCGACATGATATTTGGGATACGCTGCATCTGTAATTTTTTCCCAAAAGGTCACAGGTCATTACTGGAGGAACTTCTCACAAAATTAACGAAGACTTGGAATAAAGTTACTCGCTACTAGCCCCTAAAATTTTCCAAATACACTACCTACCTATTTTTTAGGAATTTCACTTAATGATTTAACTCCCAATTCAATTACGATTAATTCGTAATTCCCATATTTAATGTATATACATGTTTGTGCGTGTGTGAGTTTTGATTTTTTAATCAGTTTCCTGGACATAACAAAACAAATAAATTATAAAAATGAAAAGAAAATAAACAATAACAAACAAATATATTTTTGTTATAATTGAATTATCGTATCTTGCAGCACGTGTGGTCGTGCACATGTTGCTGTATATACACAACACAAACGAACAACAACGAAGACCGGACCGACCTCGAGTGTGTTGGAGAGGACAGCGAGAGAAGAACAAATGCATGATTGAGAGAAGCGAAACAAGAATTGGACGCAATGTGAGGAAAATTTTGTTGTCAGTGTTGCCACTATCGTTAATAATAATTATTCGACTAAATTGAGCTAAAACTTTCGAAAATTCCTCTTCCGACATGTTAAAATGCATTTGAAACATTATCATTTGATAAGGCCTAAACGTGCCTCATCAAAAAAACGGCTTTAGACCCTAGGTCTCTTTGGACAAAATCCGTTTCAGGACATTAGGAGTCGATTTAGCGATGTCCGTCCGCCGGTCCGTCTGCCTGTCTGGCTGGCTAGTGCGCACGATAGCCCTCGAAGGGAGTATCCGATATGATCCATACTTGGTACATCGTAATATTATTGTCAAACTTGGATCGAGTTCGGAGATGGGCAATATATCCGTCCACTCCTTCTGGTACCTCCCCGAAAAATGTCAACATTTTCAAAGAAAGTAAATAATTTTCTTCGGTTTTGCTCAAACTTTGCAAATCCTAATATTTCCACCAGTGCTACAGCAGGTGCTAAAATGGACAATATCGGTCCACTCCATGCAGTCTCGTAGCATCGCATGCAGCAGTCTCGTAGCATCGCTCGTTACCGTGATACTGGTAGCGTAGCCCGACGTCAAGGAAGTAGACCGAAGAAAACAGCAACATCAGCAGAAATGGTTCGAACAGTAAAGAAGCGACTTGATGGAAACCCGCGGCCACCATAACAGCCGCTCGTATTAATCGTCCGTGGCATCAGAATAAATGCCGAATATTATCGCGAAAATATTCTGGAGGGTGTGTTAAAGCGTTGGGCACGCAAACATTTTGACCGAAGACCTTGGACATTTCAACAAAACTCAGAACCATCGCACTCAGCACGCGCCACCCAAGAATGGTTACAAAATTAGGTTCCTCGCTGCATTTCCGTTGGACTATTGTGTCTGGAGTATTTTGGAAAGCAAAGTTGTCAATAAAAAATACCAAAGTGTCGATCACCTCAAGCAAGCGCTTCGCAGGGAATGAGCCAAAATACCACAGAGCAAAGGTGACCAATTCGAACAAATCTAAACTTATTCCAAAATTTGATGCTATTTCCGACATTTTTTGCTTTCATTCAATAATTTGTTTTTTTTTAAATAAGTTACAAAATGATGGCGTTTGACATTGTTGCAGTTTTTTTATCTCACCCTGTATATACTTTATAGGGTCTACGATGAATATTTAGGGATGTTACAAGCGGAATGACAAAGTTAATATACCCTCCTTTTCAAAGTGGAGGGTATAAATATTTATATATGAACATATGATGATAGTCAGCCATGTTGGCAACACTGTTTCAAACTATTATCTCCTCGCCTTAGTCATCTCATGACGACACCACTGACATATATGCACAGCTTAAAACAATGTTGCCAAATTTCTTTTCTATTCTCATATACTCAAGAGAGAGAGAACATAATTGAGCGAAATATTTTTTCTTGAAATGCAGAAATGAGTAGAAGTTGTCCACCTGTGTGTGAGAGCCTAAAATGGCAAACAACGTAAATAGTAGCCAGCTAGCCCATGTTTTATCTGACAATGATAAACAACAACAAAAAAGAGACGCCGCAAATTGAGAGGGAGTTTCCTTTTGGTATTTCTAAAATTTACACCTATGTGGGTATGTCTCTTCAGATAGATGTCAAAAGCAACGACATCGGCATTTTTTTTTTGTTTATACCGTTTTCGCTAACCAGTTATTTCTTTGTAGATACCTACCTATTTGGTTCATAAAAACAGAAAGTTCATATTTGAAGTGCGAGTGGACAGAATGTTACCATTTTGCCTTAGTTTTGTTATGGCTATGTATTATTGAGCAAGCAAAAAAACAAACGCAAAAAGTTAATTGCCTTGAAATTATCTATTGAATGGTTACTAAAAACTTAGTCACAGGCACACACGCACGCAACAACGTGCATGTGTGTGTGAGGAAATATCTATAGCATAGCCGAGAAGTAAACAACAAAAGCCCCACAACTACTGCTCTCTGTGGTGCGTTTTAATCGTTGCTCCATTGCTTCGGTGTTTGTTATGTTTACAACAATGTAGATGACGCGCAAGCGGCATATGATGAACATACATTTTTGAGGTTATTCAACTTAGCCTGGCATTGTTTAAATATAGGTATCATCAGTAATTTGCTTTCATTATGATTAGACAAGAAAAAAAAATGCACAAAACTACCCAATGTATTATTCATGCCATGAGTACATATCCAGTTACAATGGAAATTTTTGAAATCGGAT